TTAGTTAGGTAACTTCATTTTTGCAAAACAGTCCTCTCAGTACTTTTATCTTAAATTGATTTTGTTTTCTTTAATCAATTATTCAATAAAATGAGAGTTTTTTTTTTCTTTAATTAACAATCAATGTTAGACATAGAAAGGTATTTGTGAGTCCAATAAAAATAATCTTTCATATTAATTAATAATTTTTGAAATTAAAAATTCTGAATGCATGTATTTTTTATTTTAACGTATATTTTATTGTTAAAAATACTTTATTAGTTAAATAATATTTGAACATCTTATTTGATAAAGACATGTACAATACTAGAGATATTTTTTAGAGCACTCCGAATTTTACGAGTTAGCACTCTTAGATTAAGTGTGTTTAAATTAGAGTTTACAAATTTAAATTTAGATAAACTTGATTAATAAAATTGTTTTTAAATATATATTTACTAAAAAAAATATTACTTGTCTTACTTAATGTTACTAAAACTGTAATATAATATTAAGTTAAAATGATAGTGTAATTTATCAGTAGTCATAAATAAAAGTTTACTCAACGAAAAAACAATAAAGTATTAGTTTCAGGCTAAGAGAGTAAAAGAAATTGAATTTAAAACAAAAAACACATTCTCTGTTGACAATGGTTTGACCTCCTTATCCCGAAAGCAAACACCTCGGAAGACATGCTACAAGACATGGTGAGAACATACAATGATAGTGATGAATAACTTGACAATAAAGAACCAACATAATTGGTATTTGACGCACTAACACATCGACAAACATTAACGGAAAATGATAATAGAAGAAAGAGTTTTTCTACGAAATAATTTAAGAATGACGTAGTAACTGCATCCGAAAGAAGTTGATTGATATGAGTTATAGACGTTAAGTTGATATTTGTGTGAAATGTCATCACTCACATAAATGAGACACCAGAATGTCGTTCCACCAATTTAAAAATTACATGCATAACATTGTCTGGGGAAATTAAACAATTAATCAAGTTTTAGTAAAATGAAAAACAAAACATGATGAAACCCATTTTAGTATAATAATGTATATTCTACTTTAGTTTCATACATATGTAAGTCAACATATTATTATTATTATTTCTACCCAAGTTTTAATTACACCATTATATATCATTGTTTTAAAGCTTCAAGCAACAAACAAGCTTAACGGGCAGATAACAATAGCTCCTTCATCGAATTTGATCTAGTAAGTTCAAAAGTAAACCTTTTTTTTTGTAACAAAAGTCAATGTCGATCCATTAGTGTTATTTGTCCATTAAAATTATTGACAAACTACGAACATCTTTATCTTGTTATACATGTTTTAGTTCAAACGGCTTACGTATTGACTCTTGAATCAGAACAGAAATTTGTGGGTGTAGTACGTTTTTGGAAAAGAATTATAGAAGGGTGGCTTTATATAATATTAATATCAATAAAGTATTTTAGCATTTTATAAGTTTTAATTATTGGTAAAGACAACCACATAGAACAATGATTGGTGAAATGACAAATAACAATTTTGAACAAAAAAATGAAGTAAGTTTGTCAACAAAAAGAAAGAAGAGTTCATACTTTGGAAAACGAGAGGGAAAAGAAAAGTAGTGACCAAGCAGAGTCTTGTCAATATGGCACGCTCCCTTCCGCGGCCATGGCGCCCATGGCACCTTGTCGCACAACGGCACACCTGTCACTGTTTGTTTTAATCAATTGCTTTTTAACATTCATTTTTTTAATAAATATTTTATAACTTTTTTGGTTCAAAATCCAATATTCTTAAGTTATTTTATATTTGATTAAAATTAATGTAGTTAGCACTTATTTAAAAAATAAATAAAGCAACCCCATCATGTAATTTCTTACTTTATATTTTTTGAATTCGATATTTTGTTTAGAGAAAATGAGTATTTTGTTACTCAAATCAATGTGTGTTGATAGATATTTTTATTGTAAAATATAAAATAATAATTAATTTCATGTTTAAAAATTTATACTTCTACCTTTGTTTTAAATCATCTAAGTATATATAATAAATTAAATTGATTTAATGTGTTCTAAGTGTAAAAATTGATTTGCAAGTTTTCCTTATAATAAGTTCCAAACAAATATATATATATATATATATATATATATATATATATATCATTTTTTATCATTATAAACACTAATAATGTTATCAGGAGATTAAATTTCATCTATATTGTAAATTTAATTTGACGTGTTTTAATATATCTTATGTCGTATGTTATGCTTTTAGTCAACCAGTCTTTATGTTATGTAAAATTTATTATATTTTTTTTTATTTTAATCGATCCAAATATAATAATTGATATAGAATATCAATCTGTACACAGGCCGTTAAAAGAAGACAATATATATATAGTGAGATGATACCCCAAAATTGTACATGGAATAATTGCACCTAATTAAAAAAGAAAATTGTTTACAATTACAAAAATAAGAAGAAATTATTTGATTGAAAATGGATTTTATTTTACTATGTGAAACTTGTTATCATGTTTACAATATATCGAGGATTTTTTTTTGTCAATATATAAAAGATGAGTTTAATTCTTTTTATTTTTCTTACTCATCTTTTCCACCACACTTTATGTTTTTTATTAGTTAATCCTTACTCAAATTAATGACTGACCTAATAAATACATCTTCTACAACTTAACAATTAGATCACTTGGCCGATTCAAGCCTGAAGCAAGCAAAGCACTTGCTTTTAAAATAAGGCTCTATAATTATTTTTTTTTAGCATGGATATTTTTATAAAAAAGATAAATAAATAATATTAATTATTGAATAAACAATACTCAAAGTGAATATTTTATTCGTTTTAAATAGACCCTTCATTTTTTTTTATCATTTTATTTCCAACAATTTTATCTAGTTTCTTAGTTGATCCTCTAATATTATTAATTGATCTTAATTAAAGTATACATTTTTAATATTAAATATTTTAAATGAAAAACTCCTATAAAACTTATGTTTCTATGACATTATAAATGTTCCTAAATTTAATTAAGGTAAAATTGAAATGACTTTCGCTTGGCCTCCTTTACCTTTTAACATTTTATATATCAATTTTACTTCGTACAACAGTGTAAATTTCAAAATAGAATAATAAAAAAAGATAATATAATTATTATCCAACAGTATATAGAGAAAGTAGGTAATATGTGTGAACCAAAGGCTCAAGAACTATAATGAATTAAGGAAAAATCACGGGTACAAAAACTAGTGACAGTGTTACGGGGAAACATTATCGAACGATTTGCATTTTTCATGTTGGGCCATAAATTTTAATACTACAAGCACTGTTTCCTTCAAATGCTTGGAACAATAATTTCATGCATGCCGTACATTTTTTCCCCCTAACTTGATCACGCGCATTCATTCTATGGACGAAATATGAGAGTGGAGTAGGGCGATTCTTCATTCTGATTCATGATTGAAACCAAAACACTTTAGAAGGTTAGAATTTCTTCAATTAGGTAGAAATCACTTTCTCACACCAAACCACCTCTAAGGGAAGGAATACAAATTGCCTTTTTATGTTGGCCAAAATTTTACCCTTTACAATCTTTATTGACTGATCACATTTTGCATTCAAAAACAGACCCAAACCTTAAAGGCATGACAAACAATACCTAAGGTCTTGGAATTATATAGTATAAAAATATTGAAAATAACATGAATACAAACCAGCTATGAATTGTAACCAGTAATGGTTCCTGTGCACAGAACAAGGTAACAAGAAATTATTTTACTTCTCTAAAATTTGAAGAGATAAATTATTTTTAATTTTTAAAAAATTGAACTTTAATATAAACAAACCTTTCAACTAAATGCCTTGCTTCCCTTTGATAAAATGGAAAGTTAATAATATGGCTTGAACCCAGGACCTCTCCCAAATTCCCCAATAATCTAAGTGGATGTTTGGAACTGCATCAAATATACTATATACGCTTGGCTCCAACATATAAGCTATACACACAGCAGCATATAACGCAATGCACACCACTACTGAGGAACGTTGAACCAAACATACACTAAGTCTATCCCACGTGGCAAATTCTGATAACTTTTGTAAAGTATTAGTAAGTCTGCAAAATACTCTGCAGGTAGAAATCAAGTTCACCTATTGTACTGCATCCTTGATTATGGCTTTGTTTCTTCTCTTTTTTATAAGACCAATCATCGAGGCTATCAATGCAAGTCCTGGATTTCTTGAACATAGACACTTAACAGAAGTTTGTGTCCATATAAGTAATGAGCAAAGGCATTGATCCTCTGTAGAGTCAAGTGTTTCAATGATTACAATTTTGATGGACAAAGGCATTGATCCTCAACAGATTCAAAACATCATTTGAAGCAGCCTCTTAAGATCCACAAAACAGAATTCCTTATTGACTAGTGATGGATTTTAGTTTTTATCGAAGAAAGAAGGTCATAGGTCGTGGCTGTTTCTCTATCAAACACAATGAGGAAAGCAAATCTATGCAGAAAAATATGTCTATTGGCTACCATATGACAAATAGCACCAATCATAACAAGAAGAATAAGAGCCAAGTATTTGAGCATGTAAGAGAATATGATAGAGAAGCAAGAATTTAAGAAAATAAATTGATGTCAATCATGTAGGCAGACTAATGAATACCAAAAATATCAGCTTTATTTAATTGTAAAATTAAGTTATTATCAATTAAAATCCATCTGCTTAATAGTATAGCCAGCTGACATAATTTGAGTTCCATTTACAGACTATTAAGCTCAAACTCAAAGGGATAGTTTTGTCAATGGTTAAAACAAATTAACATCTTTCCTAAATTTCAGTATAGTAAATGAAAAGTTGGCTATATAGGTAGGTGACCAACATCCATTTACATTCCTGCAATCAAATTTAATTTAATTTTTTTATATATAAAAAATGATTATCACGTGATAACTCTCATTTCATTGTTGCCATTGTTAGTATACAAAGAATGGAAAAAAGAGAACAATTATCAGCTCCATAAGTAAGCTTTAAGTTCCAAATCCCACATTTTTCCTCCCCATGTGAATTTGAACTTAATTTCACAATACACAAGGCATTTACCCCAAGAGACACAAAGCATCAATAGACCTTTTACGATGTATTAAATGAATTTTAAGTCACATACACCAACAGAATAAATAATGCTTTATCACTTGCGCGTGTGCGCACACACGGAATTACATAAATCCAAATACGAGCAGTTTCAGGAAACAATGTTTTATCATCTCCAATTGTGCACTAAAGTATAACTTCATTGTAAAATCTCTCTACTTTCTGTCCGCAAATAATAGACTGCAAGGCACAAACATAAATTCAGTGTTTCCATTGCTAAAAATATGTCACTCTTATTCCTGGCCCCAAATATAAAGACGGTTAAAAAAAATTTCCTCAATAAAGAGAGCTGAATTATACATGATGTTCCAAAAAAAGAAAACCCAATTTCAATAACAAATTTAAATCGGGACCAGTTAGATAAAAGATATTCTGGGTTTTTCATCTGATAGTATAAGCTTTTAGGAAGATTTAGTTCTTGACACTGTACCACCAAAGCTTAATGACCAAGTAATCAAGAGTTTGATCCTTGGCACTCCTATTTCAAAACTAAAAGTTTCAGCCCAAGTTATGTAGGGCCGGTGTTTTTTGGCCAACCTGTAATCCCAAAAGTTTTTCCTATGATGGACATGTTAGAGATACGAAAGCATTTTCATGCCTGTACCTAATCATTGAGATGGTGGCCAAGATTTTTTACCATAGCCAGCCATATTGTAGACAGTTTTAAGATTAAAAGATGAAAAAATAGAGCAATGAAACAATCTACAAAATGTATTCTATAGGAGCGGTTTGTAGTTCAGACTCAGAAACATGCATTGTTGTTAGTTGTAACTACAAATAGGAATGCAACTCTGTATTCTTTAAATGTGGTAATGTTTGGGTAGTAGAATGAGATAAAATGATGTCATTGTATATGAAATTTGCAGCTTAATAACTTAGTGGTAAGCACAATTCCATCACCATCAAAGATTGTTTATATTTCCTAAAAGGGAATGATCTTTCACACTTTTTTGACCAAGAAAAGAAAAGAAAGATTTTATTGAATTGAATGGAAAGGACAAAATATGGGAGAGAGATCTCTACTCCGAGGCTCTCCCCTTTGCAAAGGATTTCTCCTTCCACAATGAGCAATGTTCAACCTGCAGAACGATAAAAGAAAATGAAATCTTTCCAGCACGTTTTCTTATTCACTTAACTCACTAACTCTAAGCTGACTAACTGATTATTATAACTGTCCTTACTAATTGTCCTATCTCCTAAGTCCTAACATAAACCGTCAAACAAACTTCTTTCCTTAAGCAGGGATATGTTCCCTGCACAGGACGGAAATCGCCCTGAAAAATTTGAGCACTTCATTACCACGAAGGACAATGCAATGACACAATGCCATAAAACTGTCCACCTAAACCTTTAAACTAACTGAAAAAACTGATACTAGCCCAAAAGACACACTGAAGGTTCTCACAACAACAATCAAGTCTTATCCCACTAGGTGAGGTTGGTTACATGAATCAAAGTTGCTATTGAGCTTGGTTAAAAAATCAAATTCTCACAAAATGAACAAAATTCCTATTCCAAATATGTAACAGTATGGGCAATGTAAAAAGAAAGGAATAACTTGTCTTTATTCAAATACATCAGGAGATAAAACATATTTATTGCAATATATCATTAATATAAATTGTCTTGAATAGCCTTTCAAATATAATAGTAAGACCAAGACTTGTCCCTAGAAGTGAACTTTGATGAGCTTTCCAAGAAAAAATTGCTAGGGATTCAAGCAAAAAGTGACAAAATGGAAAAAGAACTTAGAAAAAAACTCAACAGCAGTTGTCTAACTATAGATTGAGAAGACTCCATTTTTAGCTTACAAACCATTGAATGCTTAATTGCTGATAAATTTAAATGGCCAGAGAAAAAAATATATTTCACACGTATATATCTTCATTCTTTCTTTCCCCTTTGCTGAGAATATATTCATTCTATCAAATTAGAGCTAAATAATTTGAAAATATAGCACCAAAAATTACTTGATTGACAAAAATGCATCTTTGCTATCACACTTGTCAGAAAATAGATAAAGCCACAACTAAAATTTAAGATTTCTTTCAAAAATGTTCTGGTGGGCATGAACAGTACATGATTTCAGCAATGACTATAGACTTTTTCCCACTTGATAGGGGGTACAAAGGTTTTGAAGAATGGTAACCAGAACATTATATACAGTATGCAACACAAATGAACGGATAAACTATATGACATTAGAAATTTAATATTACAAAATAAAAAGATTAAAGGGATTTCAGCCATCCCGTCTTTGAACATAGGCAACAAAACTTCAGTAAATCCTAATCATTATACACTACACTGCTATCTGGAATTGTCAAATTAACGAAACTTAAACAGTAAAAGCAGGAGGGAGAGTTAATGATTTGTAAAATTACCCAATCAAATACAATATTTTCAACTAAACAAACCAATCTTACCAAAAACAGCAAGAGATATGGAGCACCATGCATAACGCAATTGCCACAAAGCTTGCAAGACTGCTGACCTAGTTAAAGCCAGTGCCCATTTCCTTTCGCTTCAGTTCTAAAGCAATACGCTCATTTTCAAGCTTCATTCTTTCATTTTCTAGACTCAGCTTCTCCAACTCCCGGTCCTTTTTCTTACTAAACCTCTGCCACTTGAACCTCTGTTTCTCTAGTTCCAGCATTTCAACCTGAATTTGTAACTTTTGTTCTTCTAACTGAAGCGAGCGTGATTCAATCCATTGCTTCTGTAACCAAGCGGCTCTTGAGTTCTCGGGTAATACTTGACTCACATCAGACTGGACCATCTGTCCATGGGGATATGAACTTTTGCTGTAGTCCTGACAATTTAAAGAATTACCAAAATTATTAGCATCTTCTTGGCCTTGGCCTCGTTTCAATTTCTTCATAGATCCACCCAATGGCCCATATATTCCTCTACTATCCCCATGGGAAGTACAATTCTCTTCAAAGTCGTCATGATCGTCAATTTCCACATCTTGATCATCTTCCTCATGATCATCATGATGGGACCTTCTAATATCATCATTATCATGATCATCTCTATTTCGGAGAGCTAACTGCAAAGAACGTTGCAATGCAGGATCAGGGGGTAAATGCAATCTATTACCATTATGATAAGAACACATCTCTTCATAGAACAAGTGTTTTGAGCTTAATATTTTTCGAACATCATCCTTTTCTTTCTCAGAAAGATAATCTATTACATCCAACAGTGTAGGATTTTCAACAACCTGACAAGAAGTGCCCCTCCCTATCATATCATTAAGTTTTTTATACCTTTTGTTAAGATCATTGAATTTATCCTCGCATTGCTGTGGTGAGACATGATAACCTCTTTCAGCCATGACCTTAGAAACAGATTTCCACTTACCCTTCTTCTGTAGGACCGCAAACTTCCTTCTTCCACTGCCACCACCATCAGCAGTCACATCCTCGCCTATATAAGAAACAGCAGTTATCAGAAGCTTTACCATCTTATCAGTCCACTTCACTCTCTGCCAAGGTGATCCTTTTTTCCCTCTACTCACTTCATGGTGACCATCAACACCGTCCTCAGTAAAGCTCGGTTCATCTTCCTCACTTGCTGAGTTTTTGCTTCTGTCTCCTTTACTAAAATCTGTCATTGAAATGGTTTGATCACAGTTCTGTAAGGTTCCCACAGTAAGTGGAAAACCATCATGAACCGCAGAATGGACAGCAGAAGACCCTTGACGCGGATGAGTTTGATGTTGGTGCATGGTATGCGGATGCTGTGCTTGATGTTGAACCCGAATTGATCCTGGCAAATCAAAGCCACCAAAAGAACTCCCACCTTGAATTATACCTCCCTGTGACAAATTTCCTTCCATTGCTCCTCACAAACAATAATTCACATCAAACCAATGAACCCATAACACCTCAAATCCTAATTCAAACCCACTCTCTTTTAAGTGCCTTTCACCTAATCAACAGATTAAACTCATGCAAACCCATTTCTGTTCAATCATCCTATTGCTTTTTCAATACCTCTCTAGATCTTCAAGCAAAAATACCCATCAATCCTAACAGGAATCCCTCTCTCAAATATCAATTCAGAGAGACAAATATGACACAGTTCCAAAACAATAACCAGATACAAAACAAAAGGTAAACTTTCAAACAGTGCAGAAAAACATCAACAAAAACCTTCAAGGCTCTTGAACAAGGAACAAAGCTACTTATCTGCTCCAAACCTGGAAAGAATTGCACACTCAGAAGCCAAAAAAGGAACCTTTAGCAACTAAACCCAGAATCCAGAGCTGAAGATCACGAGAAACATCTCATATATCCCACAGTGAAAATGTTGAAGGCTGTGAAAACTGAAAAGAACCCCACCAAAAAGAGAGAATATTAAGAAACCCAGTGAAAAACAGACATGAGAAAAAGCGTGTGATATAACTAATCAATGTTCACCTTGTGTTATTTAGTGATAGATGATAATAATTAATTTAATTAATATTCCCTTTTATCGCATTATTCAAGTTATTCACGTAATACTTCATTGCTATAACAAAAGTAACAAAAGTAATGAATTTTTCTATTGGAAAAGTAACAAAAATAAAAAAAGTGGACATGTGTCGAACTAGTTTAATAATTGTTGTGCATACGACGCCAAGGGAAGGAAAGAACCTTAACAAGTTCAATGTATGCGAGATCTGGTGGGTCCATCCAATACATGTTGGTGTCACGTTAAAAAAAATACATATATTATATGTTTGTACGAATAATTGAAGATAACGCCAAACATATTATAGTCGGCACAAGATGATGAATTTTAATGTCGGAGCCTCTTTTTGTTGTAACTCGAGAATAGAACGTGAGTAATGTACTTTTTAATATATTTTTTAATATTAAAAATAAAAAATATTAATTTTAAAATGAAAAACTAGTATTATTTAATATTAGATATTAACTAGTTGTAAAACAATGTCATGTTAGTGTATCATTTACTTTTCATTTAATATATTTGTTCTCCCATATAATTTGAAGGGACAATATTATAACTTATTGGTATAGTATATTATTAGTGAAGTGGAGTGTGGGGATCGGAGTGTTTAAAAATCAATCTTCAACTCATTCTTTTTAGATGGTGACGACTGTGACATGATTTTTTAATAAAAATTGAAAATGCCTCATTCTTTTTCTTTTTTCTGTGCTATGGAAATGTGCACTCTAAATGCTAAACATAGAATAATGAAAATGTGTTGGGTAGGGTGCTGGGCTCAGTTATAACTGGTAGAATCAACGATTTTGGCAAGATTCTCTGCTCGAAAATAAACATATATAAACTTCGATGCGTAAAATTCAATTTAAGTAATTTATAATAATAAAATTTTATTAAAATTAATTTTTAAGATTAAGATTGATAAAATCAATTAAAAAACTTAACAAAAAATAAAAATTTATTTAAAAAATAATTTTAATAAATTAAATATTTATAATATATAAATTTTAAAATAATAACTTTAAATAAAATATAAATGATTATAATAAAATTTTATAATAAAAAAATTATACTATTTTGTTCAAAGAATAAATTATTTATCAAACAAATTATAATCAAAATATATAATAAACTCAATAAAACAAAAAAAAATAACAATTAATATGTTTATATTTTATTTATTTTTTAAAAAATTTTAAATATAAATAAATTAGATTCAATATATTATAATTATACTTGTAATGTATATTATTATAAAAATAATATTATTTAAAATTAAAACATAAAAATAAAATTTAAATATTATCAATAGATAATAAATTTACTATAATAATAAGTGATTGTGAAATTTATAAAATATTTATTTTTTATCATTCATTTTATGATTTAAATATTAATATAATTTTATTTAAAGAAAATATTTATGTGAATAATATTTTATACATTTGTTATATATAAATAATTTTTTAAAAAAATATCAATTTCATATTAATCATGTAATAACTAAATTGTATTAGTCTAGTCAAATAATATAAAATAGTAAATAAATTTTTCTATTAAAACATATGAAAAAAAAATTATGTTTTACTTTATTAGTAAATTTTTTATGCTAATTTTATAAAATAACTATTTATATGTGATGTAAATATCTATTTGTAATGATAGATTTTTATATCCTTATGTATGCATTTTTTTTTTATTTTGAGTAACATAATTATTTATATTAAATTTATCAACTTCTTATTTTGCATAGAAAAAGAATTAAAAAAACATATAAATTAAAAGATAATATTATTCAAAATAGAAAAATTTGTCCATTAAAAAAAAAATATGGTCTAAAAACTCCTTAAATAACTAAAAGTATTTATAAGATTCAAAGAAAGCGCATCAAAAATAATGGCTTAAAGGCATTTGAATGGACCAATGATAAGAGCAAAGAAAAATAAGATAAAGAAAAAATTAAAGAAAATAATTGCTGTATTATCTAAAAAATAACCTAATTTAGAGTTAGAAGATGTCAAAATAGTCAATTATATATGCATAAAGAACTTTCTCCAATGCATTCCATTAGTATTTAATTACTATATTTTGCTTATTTATTTTGATTTTTTATTTAGGATAAAATTTTATTATTTTGTTTAGTTTATTTAGATTTAAGCTTATTGACACAAGAAACCCGTTAGGTTATATTTGTGTTAGTTTATAAGCGTTAAACATATATATGCTCTTATATATACATTTGTAATTAGTTTTAAATACAATTTAAGATTTAACATAAATTTTTTTTTTGATATTGTCAAGAGGCTAAGACTCTTATAACGGTCGTTCTTTTACTTATCAATCTTACGATCATAGTGTCATTTTTTATCTCTATTCAATTTTTATCTTTATTAATTTTTTTTGTTTTAATTCCTATTTTTGTCTTAATAATTTTGTTTTTGTTGTGTAAAATTTAATTGAAAATTATTTAATTTGACAATAAAAATTGTGATTGTCATCACAGTGAAATTATTTTTTATTTGTCTAAATTCTTAGTTACTGAATCCTATAATTCTCTTTCGTGTAAATTAAAAAAAAACAGTTAACTATTTGTTGTAAAATAACATATTATATTTGAAAAGAGAAAATAAATGATTATTGCGATCTATTTTACATAGACATTATTTCTTTTCACAACACATATTAATATCATATTTTAAAATCAAATGCTAATATAAACTTACCGAATTCCTTTGATGTTTACATAAGGTCTATTATTACAAAAATATACTTAAAATATAAAAAAGTATAGAAGTTTATGACATTAATAGAATATTTTAACAGTATTATGTAAATAAAAACATATTCATATTCTAAACACACATTATGTAACAAATACAATAAAAGAAAGAAAATAAAAAAAATAAAATCTATATTTGTTGAAGATAACTTAATGATTAACATTTATTTTTTACTAAATAATGAAAGAATACATAATAAAAACGTGTAAGCAATAAAAATCAATGTATCATAAATACTCTATACATCATATAAAAAATAAATCAATGACATTACACTAAAATAATGAAAAAAAAAAGTTGAACAAAGTGTGAAATTATAATTTCATTATTAAAAATTATATTCAAAATATAAAAAAGAAAAAAAAGGTGGATTCATTAAAGAATAATAAGGTTAAGAATTTGGTGTTGTGTTAATTTAAGTTTTACATTAAATTCTCATCCTCGTAACAGTAAAGTGATTGAAATTGTTCTTACCTTTACTAATAAATAATTATATAAAAATTTAAATTAATTCAAATTTATCAATATTAAAAAATTAAAAAATTCAATTAATTATATTGAAACTAATTCTAATACAACATGTCAATATGAGAAATAAAAAATAATAAATAACATTGTGAGGTAGTAATTATTCATTTCTTATATTTTAAATTTTAAATTTAATAATTTTTTTTTAAAAAAAGGCAAAAAAAAATTTATGAGAAACTTACTTCATTAAACCTTTCATAAAATATACTCACTAATTAATATATATATATATATATATATATATATATTAATTATAGATCTTTACTTGAATAATTATTTATAGAGATTTATAAATACCGAATAAGATGTAGATATTATAATATTTAATTTCATTTATATTTATAAAATATATTTAGTTTAAAATTTAAAAATTAAAATAATTTTAATTATGTTTAATTATTTTATTTATAATAGTAATAATTAAGCCATGTTTAAATTTTTTAATTAAGTTATATATTATACGTTTTGATGAAATTATTTTTTTAATTTTTCATAGTTGATGTTAATATTATAATAATATTTATATTTACCAGCTTATCAAACAAATACATTATGATAAATAATATTTAAGTTAACATCTATAATTTACAAGTTTGTCAAACGAATGTGAATGAATTTAAACACGAGAGTAAATTAATACCTATAAAATAAATACGGATATTAAAATTATTACTATTAAACGTGCATAAATTAAATATTTTACTTGTTCCTGTAGGTTTTATCACCAATAGCAAGTGCAAATTTTAATAGTAGTTATTGATTAAAAAATTAAAAATCCCAAATCAATTATAAGAAAGAAGAATCCTTTTTCTTGCAAGCAAATGAAAAATGAAAAATAAAAAATAAAAAAACACACTGAAAGTATGCTTTAGTGTTTGAACCGGACAAATTAGAACATGTGAATTCTATTTTATGCTATTTTAAAAATTGAATAGAAAATTAAAAAGTGATTGATTTTGATTTTATTAAAATATAAAATAAAAAAATACAAGAAAACAAAGATGCTTACATATTTGAATGTGATAATTAGTCTATTATTAAAGATTTTTTACATGTATAAAGACTCAAATTTAAAATTTTAATTATACAAGAATAAACTGCTTGTCATTTGAACTAATCTTTATTGGTGTTCTGTACCTTCTTTTATTTATACTCACATGAGACTTTATATTTAAATTAGATTTAATTTTTTTATAAATATAAATAAACTTAATTTTTTTTATTTTTTTAATTAATTTTAGCCTTTATAAAATTTAAATTTTTAAAAAATGAATTTCTGTCATTATTCATTACAAAAAAAAGTTACTGTTTATCTTACAAAATCTATAACTAGATGTTAAATATTTTATGAATGGATCAATTTTTCCTGGCTAAATTCAATACAAATTAAATAGAATACCTATACCAATGTTCATCTACATTGTTTCTTTTGGTTTTTCTTTTCCTTTTCAATCTCACATACACATATAATTAACTAAAATGAAAAAAATTATTAAGATAGTAAAAAGAAAATACAAAAAGCATTAAAACTAAAAAAAAATAAAATATATAACAACAACAATAAGTTCCCAAAAATCATAAAATAACAGTAAATAAAATTAACACATGCAAATATTGAAATAATTAGAAAAATTATTAAAAAAATACGATTAAAACATCTAACGAATAAAAAATGTCATGCATTTGCCAAAAGTGAAAAAACAGCAAAATAAATATTTAAACAAAAATAAAATATTCTAGTAATTTATAAAATCATCATTAAAATATTTTTCAAAAGTATTGTTGTTGTATTAATATTAAAAACATTCAGAGATAATGTGATAAAATAAATTATTTAAATCACAAAACATAAACAAGTTTTCTTAACATGAGCATGTATTTGTCTAACATTTAGGTAAGCATTGGTCGTAGGTAGCAAAAGACAAAGAAAGCTTTGTATATATGTTCGTCCTATTTTTCCTCAGAAGCATAGAGAGCCTTGATTTCCTCGACATCCTCGTAGCTACCAAGGAATATGGGAGATCGCTCGTGCAACTTCTTTGGAACCAAATCAAGTGCCTGTTGACAGATATTAATCACTTTCAGAGACAAATGATGTATTCATAATCTAATCAAACTCAATATGGATTCTATTACTTCTCTCAATGTTATTAGAGGACAAAAAACCACTAATTTTATGCAAAAGTACTAATCAAAGAAATTGTCAGTTTGGCATAAGTAGTGAACTTATAATTATTTAATTTTAAAAGGACAATCTATGTTTCGTTCAATAGGAGTAATAGATTTATGTGAGTTGCCTCACATAATTATAATTTATCATAAAAATTGTACTACTTTATTTTTTATAAGTATATTTGCATCGAATTCATTTTTTGTAAATTTAATTGGACTGGAGTAAGAAAATCAAATTTAGTTGTGCCTTAAATTTAATGATTTAAACCCTATATTTTTTATAAGTATATTTGCACTAACCTAGTAATATTAATCCATTTTGTCTGTCGAGAAAAAACAATTTGAGAGAGTTTAACAAATATTAAAAAACTATTTTTTTCTCCATTTGTAAGTAAATTACCCGTTGCTTGCCAGTGAAAGCCTGTCCTCCTGCTTGTTCCATCAAGAATGACATTGGGAACACTTCATAGAGTACACTGCACCAAACAACAAAGTAAATTAAATCCATAGACAATTTATGTCACAAGTTCAGAAACCATAAGAAAGGTTGAAAATGTCATACCGCAATTTCCCATTTGGACTCTTTTTATCAGCGGGGTACAGAAAGATGCCTCCATAAAGCAATGTGCGATGAACATCAGCCACCATGCTGTTTATTTATAGAACTCACAGACAGATTAATGTCATAAATTAAATGCATATTTTTGTTGAAGGTGACCAATCAAAACCTATTAAATAATTTAAATTATTCATTCCATAGGTTGGTCTTTAGCATTTCAAATAAAGAATCCAGTTTTCTCTGTACCTTCCAATATATCTTAGGGACTTTGGTGATGAACCATCTTTTGGAAACTTGCATTTCTCCACATACCTAAGAAAGGAAATCAAAGTGTCACAGATTGCATTATAGTCCCTATAACATTGTAACATTATGGATTCATACATACTTGGAAGTTGGACCATCCCAGTTTTTAGCATTTCCTTCATTCACTGAATAGATCTTGCCTTTCTTTGGGATCTGAAGGTGAATCACAGATCAAACAACTAAACAGAGATTTTTCGAGGAGATTAAATCCTGTCTATTATCTAAGCAATCAACAATAAGTATACTGATCAAATCATCTTAACTAAGATGAATATAAATTTAGTAAGTTTATATGGCCTGGTAAAGGCTAAGTGGAAACACTGTACAAGTCAGCTCCGTGGGCAGATTAATACCTTGATGTCAGGGTGAGTTAGAATGAACTCTCCAAGGGATGGATCAAGGGTGAAACCGTCAACACCAGTTCCAGTGCTTAACACAAGCTGTAAAATATGCCCCAAATTAATAATTAACTAATTAAAAGTTTGAGCCAAAGTAAACTTATGTCAACTCAGTCCATAGATGCACTAAACAATAAACAACTAAAAGAAACTGAGCTTATTCTTTTGTGCTTTCACGTGAGGAAATGTGCTGGTATCATTAGTTAATATTGATCAATAACTTGTACGCAGAAGAATTTTATCAGTAACCAGAGGGAAAAGATGACCAAAAGAGGAAGAAAGATCAAAAAGAATTTTTAATAGGCTCGATCAAAAAACAAAACCAAGGTATAGAGCAACGAAAAAGGGTAAGGATTTAATTTATTATACCGTGCAAGAGCTTCCATACATGCAATAACCAGCCGCCAACATGTTCTTCCCAGGTTGCAAAACATCTTCTATGTTTGGTTCATGGTCTTCTTTCACCAAATAAATCCCAAAAATCTACATGGAACACAACATACTCAATTGACAACCTCAATATTCTGTTTAACTGGAATAATTTTATTTAAAAGAGAGTTCAATGGAAAGAGAAAAGCATGCATGGAATGCATTTAAGGAAAGGTGGAGAAGCTGGGGACCATACTGTGCCAATAGAAACACCACAATCAATGTTAGATGAACCATCCAGAGGGTCAAAAACAACACAGTATCTGCACCATCAGAAAATTTGCATTAGACCCAGTAAATTAAACTAAGGCTAAACAATGAGGAACAAACACTAATATAAGCCTAAGTTAGTTTAACAACTTTCCACGCTTAGAAGGCTCCACAAATGTCGCCTCCTCATCTTCTTCAGACACCAAAATGCACTGAGAGAAAGATCTCAACATTAGCAAAGTCCAATATATAAATAGATCGACCTCCCACCAAATCACATGCTGCTATGACTTACTGTTCTCCCACTGCTGACCAAAGCCTTGATAAAGACCTCATTGGAAAGAACATCCAATTTCTTTTGCTCTTCACCCTTTATCCCGATAAGAAACAAAAATTTTAAGAGGACCGAACCAACATATGTATATATACGTCAGAAAGTTCCCATGTTGGAATACAGATACACATGAAGATTCACTTGCCTGAACATTTGTCTCTCCAGCAAGTCCAATAAGCTTAGCAAGACCCGCCTGCGAAAGAATTAAAACTTTATACGTAGTAAACCGATTCATCAAAAAATAAAAAGAAAAATGTTAACACAAAAGCATGTATTATTGACGTGGTAACATACGAGTGTTGTGGTACCTTGTTAACGGCAGAGCAAACGAACTTGCAGCCAAGAACAATGTGATTGAGCAAGATAGTGAAATCACCGCGAGACTCAGCGTGTTTGGATTGTTGGTTGAGCACGAAACGGGTAATGGTCATGAGGTCGGTTCGTTGGGCATCCGCACTGTGATCCATCTTTTAGTTTCAACGCTTCCAACCAAACCCAACACATAACACAACTCATCAAAATTCAATAATAAGAGAAAATGAGAGATGCTATGCTATCTGCTTCGGATGACACGTGGAAGACGTAGAGAGAGGGAGGAGTTCGTGGTCACGACGGCGGATAACGATTTTCGTCCTCTTCTCAAGCGTTGAGTTGAGGCCTTCTTCGTCAAATGCGACATCACCATGCAAATTTCCACTTTCCAAACAACTCCATCAACTCTAAACCTTATAAATTACTCCCCTTTATCCACCTTTCTATTTATTAAATTTTATTTTAAGATTATTTTTAAAATTTTATATATTAAATTAATAAACACAAAAATGATTTATTGTGGCTCAAATAATTTGTTTTTCACAACTTTCTCTTAAATCTAAATTATTATCTCTGCAAATTATTCGTATTTAATAAAATATAATATTTGTCGTTGATAATGAAAATATCTACCATTGCACTAATTCTCTTTGAAACACTTGTGCAATATATGAAAAATGTGCCTGTGACAAAAAAAAATAAATTATCCTTTTATCATAAATTTTTAGTTCTTAATTTTGAATAACAATGTTGAAAATGTTAGTAATATTCATTTTAATCTATTTTTTTAAATATATTATATTATTATTGATTAAAATTTATTGAAAAAACTTATTTCTATTCATAATTTAGTAAATTTTAATCATAATTTTATAATATTTAATAAATTTTAATTGATATATATATATATATGTTTAACACTGGTTTCATATTAAATCTATATACATAATTATTTTTAACACTGACTATTGCTGTAACAATTTCACCAAATTCTATAAGTAAATATACCCTAACTTAAATCCTATAACTTCCCATTACAAGAAAAATAAATTACATAAAAATTTAAGAAAGTTTAAATGGTCTGATACCTTTCCTCATCACGCATATTTCACTTTTATAAAGTTAATTTGTGTATTAAATAAGATTACTGTTGTTTGAGATTTTTTATCCTGAAAAAAAGTATATATATTATTCGAAATAATTTTGAAGATTTTAAATTATGAATATTTTCTCCTGAAATATATATTTATTTTAATGTGTTTTTTAATATTATTTTTAAGTATCTGCCACTTTTATGAATTTGCGTCACTAGATCCACTGCCGCCTCTTTCATTATCATTGTTTCCTTCACTGTTTAGTGCTACGTTTTGTCATTGTAACATAACTATCACCATCACCACGACCCTCCTTGGTCGCCATTCATCATCCCCATCAAAAAGACTTTTATTTCATTTTATTTCAATGTAATTAAAATATTTTGTTCATGCAACACTTATATATTAATTATTTACTAAAATATTCATTGATATTTAGGTTATATTAAAATACATACATGCAATCTTAGTAATAATATTATAAACATTAATAAATTTTTAATAAATAATTAATATATGTATATGAAAAATATATCAGTAGCTTTTTCCTTGAAACAGTTAATTAATTAAATGGTTAATTAAATACGGAGTCACTTGTTACCTAATCTTTTAAATATCATCAATTAGTTGAATGATATTCTAAAATTAAATTCATTTGGTTAATTATTAAAACGTGCTTATTTGTGATTTACTTTATTAGAAGATATTTATATGTAAAAAAAGTCTTCTATAATATGCTTGCATGAGAGAAGGAAAAAAAAAGTTTATGCATGCACAAAATATACGTTTTTTAATTTATATTCACACTATTTTTTAAAACTAATTTTATTGTGTGTAATATTCCCTTAGCTAAATGACAGTCAAAATAGTAAATAAACATTAGTTTTGAATCCTTTAAATTTAGAAACACTTCATATTCTCTCATTTTGACAATTTTTAATTTTTTTATTTATATTTGAAGTAAAAATTAAAATATAAATAAGAAGTTATTTTAAGGTGATTTTCATTACAATATAAAAATAGCTTTAAATTCAATATTATTAGCAGTTATTTAACGTGCTATACGAATTTTTAAATTTAAGAAAAACAAAGTATAAAATACGCACCGTTCATCAATACAAATTTTAAAATGTATATTATAAGAAAAAATTCTTAAAGTTATAAAAATATTTATTGTTTAAAAATAGATTAATAAATTACAAATGAACTTAAAATTTTTGATAGAACAAGAAAGAAAGAAAAGGTTTGTTGATAAACAATAATTAAGAAATTCTCTCGTTTTTGCGCAGATTCCTTCCCTTTTCTCAACAGGGAAAACAGAAACTCTTTCTGGTTCCTCTCCGTTAAAGGAAAGCATCGCCGGTGGCTTCAATTTAAATCTGCACAATATAAAAATCACGAAATTCCATTTCCCACAGTACCCTCTCTTTTCACTTAAATTACTCTCTTTACCACTGCGTTGAACCTTTAACTGAGGGGCCTCAGAGTCATTTCACAAGCACTTCCGCTACAAACATTCTTCGACATTCATCATTCATTCTCACACGACACCGTTTCACCCACTTGACGGCGTCGTCGTGGCTTCAGCTTCGCCAAAACCTGCTATTTTCACTACCCTCACAAATTCATTTCCCATTTTACCCCTCCCGGCGTTCCAAATTCCAATTCGCACCAATCGCAGTTCGATTTCGCGAAACACTCGAGTCCGGAGGCTTCGATTTTCAAAAGCCGCAAAACGGAGCCCTAAAAATTATTCTTCTGGGGGTTCTCTGTCTTTGTTTGATTTTGGGATTGAAACTGTTGATCCGTTCGGGAATGGCGGATCGAGGAGAAGACGAGGATTTGCAAATGGCAATTCGGATGAGCATGCAGCGCGTGACGCCAGAGCCGAAGCGTAGCAAACCGAGGGATGCATCCGCCGGAGTGGTTTCGGGGTCGCCGGAGGATTCGCCGGAATTCAAGACAAGGCGACGCGAACTCATGGCGGCGGCAGCTGAGAAGCGGATGGCGGCGGCCGCGAGGGTTTTACCTTCGCCTTCTCCGCCGGCCGCTGTTAAAGCGGGAAAGAAGGGTGGCGAAGTGGGGAGGAAGGAGGAAGAGTTGCGTTTGAAAGGTGGGAATTTGGGTAAGGAGTTGTCTGCGGAAGAAGCTAATCAGTTGTTTGCTATGGTGTTTGGGAATGAAGTCTCGAAGGGCATTCTTGCACAGTGGAGCAACCAGGGAATAAGGTAGTTTCTGCTTCTGATTGTTGTTGTTTTATATGTGTCTTTTGTGGTTACTCGGTTACCGTGTTATTCCAACATAGAAAATTATGTGAAGTCATTTTCATGCGGTTATTTCAATGACATGGTGTCAAGATGAGTATACTGTTAGCAAAAAATAAAAAATAAAAATGAGTATATTTATAATCTTAAATTACCTTTTAAATGATCTGAAGTATATGGATATGTTGCCAAGCGTACGATTTGCCATGAAGAGATGAACTGAGTCATAGTAACACAACTCTTTAACATGTCCATGATTTGAAACCTCTGTTCCATGTTTTGGTTTTTAAGATGATCCAATTGTAACTAATTCCTGAGCTTGAATATCTTCTGTTGTTGCTCTCTCTACCAGGAGTTGCAATTTTCTTTAAGTTTTGTGGAGTTTTTTAGTTTGTACTTTCCTTTTTTAATGTAGTGATGCACATTCCTGCTTCCCCTCATATTGTTGTTATGTTGTCCAGCTGTCCGTTTTCCTTGTTTCTGTGTGATTGGGGTCGGAGTTATTTTGGCCAGGGCATAATGTGCGTTCATTGTATCTTAATATCATGCTGTTGTTGTTTGTTCAGACTTCTGAATCAGGATATGTATATTTCTGATTGCAAAGTGAGCTCAGCTTCATTCTGACTTGCACAATCTTGAAAAGTCAGTGACTTCATTGCTATGCTCTCATTAATAATAAGTAATATCGCAAACCTGTTTATTCTTGTTCGTGAGCAAGTGTACCGTCGAAAAGTAATAAAGAATTTTTGAATTAAGTTACAAAGTTGTTATCCTATAAAGATTATTTTCAATTACCAATAATACCTTGATTCAATTGTTTAAACAGAAAGGATGCGTAATGGATTAAAATCAAAGAGTTAAATTCAAAAATTAGTTTAAAAGAAACAAATGAGATTTTTTGACAGAAATTGGATGAGAAGAGCTTAGGACATAGGGTTTCATTTATTATACCTTTCTATGTTTTCTTTAGTTTAATCTCAATGTTAATTTATTTAGTGTTTATCAACTACCCATATTTAATCTATTATAGCTCAATTATTATGCAAAATTAATATTCTTTTCCTTAAACGATTATCCTTAATGATCATGCAAGGCAAACGGTAGAAAAAGTATAAAAAATCTATGAGTTTATTAATTTAATAACAGTTAGAAGAGAAAGAATAAGTTTGATCCGCTTAACCTTTTGTCCTATTTTATCTTATTGTTCCACTACAATACAATTAACTATGAGATACTAAGAGTGATTAGTTTTTAACATGAACAATTCAATTTAATAGGATAAAAATCAAATATACAAAAATATAATATTATTATTAAACATAAAAATCACATAAAGTGTGCAATAAGATCCACTATAGATTTAATTATGAATTTAGCTACTCATAATAAAATAAACAACAAAAAATATGATGAACCTATCTATAAATCATAAAGGAGAATTCAAACAAGAAAAACTGAAAAGAAAAAAAGATGAAAAGAGTTCTTGTTTTTCAAAGGGCGCTTAATCACTTGCTCGGACTCTGAAGCGAGGCTCGTCGTCTTTTCCAATAATCTCTAATAACTTTCAACCTGTAGTGAGTCAGAATTAAGAATGGGAAGAAGGTGTGTAGAAAAAGATGTATAATGAAGTCAAAAAAATTGTCTTTAAGTCTTTATATAGGATGTGCTTTGAGTTCCTGGTCGGTTGAGCTCTATTTATTCGAATCGGTTTTATTTTTAATCTGAATCTCAACTGAAATCTTTATTTGAATTTCAAATTTGAATCTGTATCAAAACTTTCGCAAGGTTTGAATTTTGAATTTAAACTTTTAAACGCAGATTTATTTAGCACAATCGTGCACCATCATCCAGCATGACCATGTTAGACAACGAAACACACCCATGTAGCTTGCGAAACATTGTCGTGCATATGTGCGAGACCCGTTAAAATTATCTAAGCTTTTTGCTCAGAATATTCTCAAAAAGCACCGGTGGTTCTCTTATGCTTATTTGTGAAAATTAACATTAAAACTAGTGAGAAACCTCTATAAAATAAACTTCAATTACAAAAATATAAGCCATAAAGTACATTAAAATATGGACTTATCAATTCTGGCATTTGAAATTATAATATATTACAAGGAAAAGAAGTTGAGCCATGTATCTTTAGAAGAATGCATTTTCCTAGTTCTGAAAACATATTTTGTTTTTTGTAAATCTGGGGTTGGTGGTGATCATTCAAAATTAAGTATGGAATAAGAGTTAAATAAGATATAGGAGGGAAATAAAAGTGAAATTGCAAAAGTAAGCATCTTTAACTGTCAGAATTTCATCTTTGGCCAATGTGGGAAGGGTGGAACTTTCAATTGAAAAGCTCTACATGGGTTAAATTCTTATGTTCTGCTAGTGTTAAGACAATCTTGTGTACTGCCTGCTCTTTTGTGATTGTTTAATGGAAGTAGTAGTTCATCAAGTAATTGACTGATAAAAGGGTGGTTCCCTCTGTATAGCAAAGAATGCACAAAGTTCCTGTTAAATCAACAGGGAAAAAAAAATAAAAAAAATGCAGCATTGCTATTTAACATAGTCATTTTCGCATGAACTACAGTAGAAAAATTCCTTGTTATACATGTTGATTATGTTCAGCTGATGCTACATTACTGCTTAATTAGATAGCAAAGTCATGTAGGTGCTGTCATTGTTTAATATTATTTGTTTGTTATATGGAGACTGTTTTGATTTTTGTGCTTCTGTGGAGGTCTGTTTAATATTATGTATTGGTATATCTTGTCCTGTAATCGATGACTAACTTTTTTATTTAGAAATTTTTGCTTCTCTGCATCACCTCCGGTCTGACCTTTCTGCTGTGAAACTAATGCTATGCTTTACATTTCATTTGTGAAACACAATTTATGAACACATTAGTTTCATTCACGGAAAAATCATACTGGTAAATTCAACTATTGATCTGCAAGTTTTGTTTGTGAACATACTGTCCTTTTCTTAAAGATGTTTTGACTTTTGAATTATTTGTTTCTTATACTTTAAATTTGAATAAGGTTATGAACGTGCTTTTTATTGCTAATTTCTATGAAAACTTTACTATAGGTTTAGCTCTGATCCTGAAACATCAATGGGCCTAGTGCAGCATGAAGGTGGCCCCTGTGGCGTTTTGGCAGCTATACAAGTAATGGCTACATTTTTCAATATTATTTATGAAATTGTGGCATGCTGTCCATTTTTCAAAGCTTTTTAGAAAAATCCCTATTTCAAATAAGGCAAAATGGTATTATTTGGTTCTTATAGTTTCACTTCAATAGGGACTTTCTGGATAGCCCGCCCAACTAATATTTACCTCGAAAATCCCTAAACTTCAGGACTGTTCTGAACGGTTTTGAACTGTGAGGACTAAATTGAATTTTGAGTGAAACTATATGCACTAATTGAGTGCTTTAACTACACGATATTAGCAACTGGCTCCATGGTGTAAATGTATTATCTACTGGCATCAAACAAATATTTTGTAGGCATAAAATATTAGTAATTGGCTAGATGATGGTAAATGTATTCTGTGTTTTCTTTGTATGATTTCCCCATGTGTATATATATATATATATATATATACATATTGTAACTAAAATTTAATCACTTGTTATTCTCAATTAAGGATGGCAATTCGACAGGTGAATGCAAGTATTGCTTTTCCTGTATTCATTCCCATTTATGTTATCTGGTATTTAAAATTGTAGATACTCGAGGATTTCTGCTTTTAAAAGTCATCAAAAGATAAAAATGTGGACCCTTTATGGAGCTAAAACTTCAATTTTGAATTTAAAACAACACCAAAAACAAGTAGAGAACTACACCTAAGTTTTATTCTTTGATAATTTTTTGTTTTTAACTTTTCTGATATAGTAATGTTGAACATGTTTTTTCAATAAAGAAAATACAATTTTTGTAGCAAGCTTGTTCATGAGTGAGCATGTTGTTTTCTAATATACAATAATAGTTCTAGAAGCATTATTTTTTGTTCTATGTCTATTTTGCTTATGTTTTTCTCTAACTTTTCAGGCATTTGTGCTTAAATACATTCTTTTCTTCTATGATGAGTTGAAAGATGTATCACACATGCCACAAAAGGGTCCAGGTGCATCATTTAAAAGTCCATCTGTTCCATCGTATAATTTTTCTTCACTTACTGAAGGTGTAAAAGTAAGGTGATTAACTTTTCCTGAGCAGTCATTTGTGTTTAGCTTGGTAGAATTCATTATAATAAAATTATAAGCTTCCATTCCTTGTACATTGTATTGTGAACATGAATATTGATTTGATTGAATATTAACTTTTCATGAATATTGATTAAATTTTCCATGTCTACAAGATGTTGATTTCTTTGATCTGTAGCTCCCTGTTTTCTTGTGTACTGTGAACATGAATATTGATTTGATTCAATATTAACTTTTCATGAATATGGATTAAATTTCCATGTCTTCAAGATGTTGATTTCTTTGATTTCTAGCTCCCTGTTTTCTTGTGTACTGTGAACATGAATATTGATTTGATTCAATTATGTATCTGTTTATTTCAATATACAGTAGTAGTTGTTCGGTTCACAACATTAAATTGTGTCAGGATTTAATGTATTCGTCAGATTCTTGTTCATCGCCTGGATGTGGTGAAAAATAAGCAAGGTTCTCACATTTTCATGAACCAGTGTGGGTAAAGTGGTTCATGGTGCGAAGGATTCGTTTAGGAACATGAGATATACTTACAAGTAAACCAGTGGAAAGTGTAAGCACAATGATTGGAAACAGGATTAATTTCATGTGCCTATAAAAAATTGAGTAGGTAGAACAAAAGGCAAAGGAAGTAGACACTTTTGTTTTTATTGTGGTACACTGGTTTAGGTTAAATTGAGAAATGAGGTCGGTATAATTGTAGTTAAGTATTAGAAGATTGATGTTATTCATGTTAAAAGACTAGGAGATGGGACCATTGCTCTAATGTTTATGGTGGAAAGGGAGACTTTAAAGTGATCTGCGCTTATACATCTTAGGTGGCATTAGAAGAGTAAAACAAGATAAAATTTTTCAAAGACTTGGAAGTTTTTCGAGGGGATTTAAATGATCATGAGGGGAGCACTTCTGAAAGATACAAGGGTTCACATGGGAGAAGGTTGGCAATTGGGATTTTGAGGATACATGGGAGAAGGGTGGAAAGAGAGAAAGAAGAAGAAGCCAAAATTATAGGATCTTTCAATGAAGTGTTCTGGAAGAATAGTGTTAATGGACATAAGGAAGTGCTAATGACATGGGAGACACGATGATCAAAGGGATTAGGAAGGTAGAAAAAGAGACTCAAATGAATCAAGAGTTTGACATGGTTGTCAATTTTAAGTTTTGAGAATTTTTAAAAATTAAACTCAGTTTTATAAATTTGTTTCAAATTTTTGTAGTTTATAATTAACATTTTATTAGAAAACTAGATCTAATTCACTCTGAAAAGTTAATACTTAATGTAAGACATCTTAACATATCTCTTTCATGCCTAGGACTAAGATATTTAGTGTGAAAAGTTTGCAGGATTAGACATTGATAGGTGACCCAACATTTAAATTGGTTGGCTTTGATACCAAATTAAAAAATCAGGCCTAACTTCCAAAAGTTAGTTTAAAGAAAAAGGTTTGCTTAAACCTCATAAGGAATACACTAGCTCTATTCTTAGCGATGTGGAACATCTTAATACATTTAATATTAAATCTTAAATCCAATCAATATATTTACGTTTTACTTACCAATTTAAGCTTATTTTGTGATGGAATGATGACGAGAGTGGGGGACAAGAGAAAGGAAGGCATTGTGATAATAAGGTTGACTTTTGTTGCGTGTTCATTGAAGTTTTCTTTTCCTTCTGTTACATCACATCACCTTGGTGATTGAACATTGGAGGTGTACCTCGGACCTTGCTTTTAGTTATGTGGGCTTTAATGTCCTGTTTTATTTAAATGTGGCGGATGCTAGAAGTTATTTTTTGGCTTCATAAAGCATGACCTCTACTTCTAATTTTTTTTTTTTAATTGTTTGGTGATAACTTCAGCTTTTCTGGTTTTGGACTTCGTTTTTTCTCTGTAGTATTTGCTCGTCTATTTCAATTCCATATGCCTATGTATATTAGTTCCTATCAAATGTCCTTCTATGTGCTTCACAGGTATTTAATATTGGTAGGTGTATTTTTCCATGGTTTTACTTGCACTAAGCTCATGATATGTTTATGGTGTGCGATTTCATCTTCATGGCAGAGCCCTTGTAAGAAGTATGCGTGAAATTTTATTTTCATGTGGAAGTAATAGAAGGGTTGTGATTGCAACTTTGAGCATTCCAGAGAATGACATTCAGCGTTTTGAAGGGATTTCAGAGGATGAGGTACCTTGGCGATAGATTGAATTGTATTGTACTGTTATTGTTTTTATTTGTGTAGTACTTTGTTGGCAAGAAATTGAGTTGAATTTTCTATCTTGTTATTGGTGTCATCTACTATGATTCTCGGATGATATCCTTATCTGCTGAATCAAGTCTTGTCCAATTGACAGGTCATTGCAAAATCTCTTAAAGGTCTTTCCATTGAATCTACCTTGGATCTGCAGAAGGTTCTTAGAATTGAAATCTGCACATCACAGACAACTGCATTGCAAAGGCTTGAAGCAAATCTTCCCTTATTCCAAAGTCGAATGGGAGCTTTGCTTTTTCTAATCTCTGCCTTACTTTCCCGGGGACTGGTATGTTAGCCTGCTTCAAGCTCTGGTATCTAGTTCACATTACACTTTACTGTCTTTGAGTTCACACTTCACACTGTCTTTCAAAGTAAGAGATGTTAGGCATTCTTCCTGGTACCTACCAAGAATGAAGTACTTGTGAGTGAATAGTGAATATGCAATCTCTTTTGTGTGAATATTAGAATTTCACCCTATGTCTTGGGTAACTGGATTATTAGGTTGATTTTATTTTGTACTTATAATTGCTCCTATAGGGATATTTATGTAATGGAAAAGAGTAGGGTATATCTGTTTTAAGAATGGCCTACCCGAATGATTTAAAAGCAACGGCAATGTAATTTAATTATTTCTTGCTTTTTTGGTTGTCTAGGTCTTACGGATCATCAAGTGCAATGTATTTGAGATATGAATGTGAGTCTTTAATATTGCCTGGAAATTAACAGGAAGCCAATAACTGAGCCTAGTAATTTATGTGTTGCTTTGGCTTGAGTTGGCTTAAATATTTTTTGCAGGGACCCTTGATGCTATTCCCCACCCCTGCCCCTGACCCTGTTCTCCCCCCCCCAAAAACCAAATTTCATGCTCCTCAGTTGTTCAGGACCTAGGATACGGTCCTGAGCTCCTGGAGCTTCCTGCACCCAAAGTGGTCCGATGATGGCGGGTGCTAAATGATTTTGCCAAAGGTCTTTCTATCACCTTTCAGATTTCCTTAAATGTAATCTAAAAAATGTTCAGGTTTGATTCTCTAATTTGTTGAATTCTCTTAATTCAAAAATATTACTGGAAGATGCAGTGTTCTTTTGACCAGAAATGAGCTATTTTCAGGATGTAGTTGATTATTGTGACAATTCTTCATGGTTTGATAAGCTTGTGGGAAAATTTAGAGTTAGGGATTTCTAGCAAATAATTTTTTGAATAATGCCTGGACTCTGGTCAAGAAATTGTTTTGGAAAAGCCACCTAGCAAACAAACGTATACTGTAAGGATTCTGTTGAAAATCATAGGGATTTAATGGAAAAGAGAAGTAAAATTAAATATCATACTAATAGGACACTGAATGATTGTGATTTTGGGATGATAAAAAACACTAGTTTTGTACTTCTCTTTTTTCTTAAGAACCAATAAGGAGACTGAAAATTTCTAAGTTAGAAACATAAGAAATACAGAGGAGTTCCATATTTTGGAAACTATTGTGGAAGTCACTATGGACATAGGCATGGTCATGCTGGATGGTATTGCTTTGATACCATGTTGAAATTATAGGTGTTGGGTAGAAAAGTAAAAAGAGAGAAAATACTTTATGTTACTAATAGGACTCTAAATAATTGTGTTATATGTTGATGATAAATCACTGACATTATTATCCTTTTTATACAATGTTCTAGGTCAATTACAAGTATAATACAATCGGCCCATGCATAGCCCAATTACTCTCCTAACATGGAATGACTCTTAAAACAACAATAATAGTAATATTCAAACAGAATTGTCTAAAGAGGGTTTAGACTATTTTAAGGATACTTGATTCAGGGTGAACCCCACCACACCAGCTTGGATGGACCTGATTTAAGATTCTCAATAATCATGGCTACTCCAAACTGGGTCCTCACCTTCGATGAGTTTAACCTACTCACTTGAAATATTGACTGAGATTGCCTTGGGTCATTACACCCAAGTTGGATACCCTCCATCTTGCTTGAACTCAAGGATGTGCCTATGAACCTACCCCTGACCACACCCGTACCATAGTAGTCAATCCTAGATAGTGATGCGGAGCGATTGACCCCAAAAATGCTATAGCGGATAGCAAGATGATTGCTATTATGAAGACAATCAAAACAGAGAAGGAAAATAGATCAAGAAGTGTTCAATCACCAGAAAAAGTTATAAAGCAAATGGTTTCACTGGAGTCTATATCTCATCAAAAATATCTTGAGTTACATCGGAGATGAACAAAACAACTAAAAAATATCTCTGTTTACGTTAGAAATAAGTTGAGTTTTGTTGAAGATGAAGAAAACAACTGAAACTTGGCTGGAAAAGGTGACTTGCACTAGAAAGTGACGTTGGAGATTGAGGACGAAGCAAGAGAAGAGAGAACAGAGATGGAGGTAGGGTTCCAACTTTCAAAAATATAAAAGGGAGCTGAAATCTCAATATTGCCTTCCTTAAAAAGCATTCCAACTTTCAGGAAGGGAGGAGAAACTTATCCTTTTGCCCTGTTTGACATATATAAAAGGGGCGAAATCTCCAGATTGCTCCTCTTAAAAACATTTTAATCTTCAAAATAGGAGGGCAAATTTGTCCCTTTACCCTAAGATGAAATAGTAGCTGCTAGAGCCGCGATTTGCTTCGCTTTTTGCCCTTATTTGCAGCGCAACGACCACTACACTGAAATGTGACAGCAATGGAATAGCAGCACCCAATTGCTCTGCTCTGCACCTCTGCAATAGCGGTTGTTATTGACTCCTATGACCAATACCATGACTTCAGACTGCTTTGCCAAACTTTTGTACCAAGTATGGCATGCTCAACCTATCATGGTTGGAAGAAATCTCCCCTTACCCAACTTACATCATTAATAGGGGGGGCTCAGCACCTAACCATGACATACCCACACTTATAGATTGGGATGATCCAATATCCTAAGGTATGCCATTTTAGCTATACCATTATTTTGCCAACGTATCCTCTAACTCGAGCATTGAAATGCTTCTTACATGAATGGCCCCTGCTTTTGACCATTGTGGTCTACCACCTCAAAACAATGTCAATGTGAACTGAAGTGCAACACCAGAACAATACCAAAAACTGATGACACTTCATCTCAACCAGCCCATATTGATTCAACATTACCCAAAACCCAAGTCCAGTTAAAGCCTCTTACTAGTATCTTCGGCTCCAAATTACCTTAGAAACTCAAAATGAAAAAGAAATTCAATGTCATGCTTCTTTCCTCCTAGGTTTTCATTAGCTTGTGTGCTTGAGGAACATCATTAGCTAGATCCAGGATTATATGTTCATTTCATATCCTAATCTCCTTTAAATGTTGAGCTGAGGTAGTAAGCCTTGGTGTTCAAACCTGTATAAAGAAATGGAGCAATTGTTACTAGTATTTATGCCTTTAAACTTCTGAGTTTTATTTCTATGGTTTTTAGAAAATTTTTGTTTTGTCATTTTCTATGATCCGTAATTGTTGGGAATTAAATGGTGTATTTGACATGATAAATTCCAATGTTTGGCTGATTTTGCATCGGTTGTTATTATGCTTTTAAAAATTCTCGAGTTAATGTGTGCAATATTTTGCTTTCCTCCAGGACTTGGTTCAAAGTGACAGGGATGATCCCAGCCTACCACTGGTTACTGCACCTTTTGGGCATGCCTCCCAGGTATATATATACCACAGATAATTGAGAAATGCTGCTATCCTTTGAACTGATGCTTATTTTAAATAATATTCCAGAATAGATAAAATTTTCTTTTTCTATGAATCTTATGCTGCAGGAAATTGTAAACCTACTGCTTTGTGGGCAGGCTGTGCCTAATGTGTTTGACGGAAGGATGGATTTAGGTGGAGGAATGTTTCTGAAAGGTATATCAAGAGATGTAGAAGTTGGATTTCTCACTCTACTAGAATCCCTGAATTTTTGCAAGGTTGGTCAGTTTCTGAAATCCCCAAAGTGGCCTATATGGGTTGTGGGGAGTGAATCCCATTATACAGTACTGTTTGCTCTTGACCCCCGTGTCCAAAATGAGAATGAACTGGAAGGAAGGGAAACTCAGATTCGCAAAGCTTTTGATGCACAAGATCAGAGTGGAGGTGGTGGTTTCGTTAGTGTGGAAGGGTTTCATCAAGTTCTCGCAGAAACAAATATTAAACTTCGGCCAGAGAAGCTAGAACATCTTTGCTCTGCTGGATTCATCGTATGGAGTGAATTCTGGCAAGTAATTTTGGATTTAGACAGCAGCTTGGGAGGTTTGAAGGATTCATCAGGACTGATGGGTAGGAAGGTTTTTAATCTATACCATTTTAATGGGATTGCTAAATCAGATCTGAATGGCGGCCAATCAAATTCTGGGGCTGAAACTCCCCTGCAAAGACCCAGGCTGACAAAATTGAGAGTTTCAGTTCCCCCAAGGTGGACGCCTGAAGAATTTATGGCAGATGTAAAAGTTTCCTCTGCTTCAAGTGCAGGAGAGTCTGCAGCGAAGGACACTGAAGTATCTAAACCAGAGCCTTCTCAGCATGCACCTTTGGTGGACTGCATAAGGACCCGCTGGGGCCGTGCTGTCTGCAGCTGGTCAGGGGATCCTCCTAGTATAGTCTGAGAGACCTTATTTGAAGTTGTTTGCTGTGTTTACGTGGCTTTATCAGGTAAAGCACAATCGGGTCGGCAAAGAGAAGATGAAGTTTTTATGCTTTTAACTTTGATGTTGTACCTCGAGGGGGTTCAAATCTCCAAATTTTCTCCATTATGTGCATATCCGTTATATAATGTGGATTCATGTATATTCAACATAATTTTTCGATTTTGTCATGTCATTCAGAAGGAACAAAGAAGAGGGATGCGATATTTATTGTTTAGCATACTTGTAACAACCATTTAAATGTATTCGCATCAAATAGGAAGATTTATAGTTGTTTGGGGGGAGGGGGGGAATTACACGTGAAATCTGTTCTTAGTTTCTGAAATTGTAATAGTAAAGTATCATGCTTGGCTTCTGGAATAGGGGAAAATGAATAGTCATAGAATAATATGATCGCGCCCTCAGTTGTGGAACATCTCACCACTCTCTCTCTCCATTTCTTTTTTTCTCTTGTAATGATTAATGGGCATCTATATTCCATGCGTTTCGGTCCCAAAAATCAAAAGCGTATTTTCTGAAATATTTTCCAGGGCTTAGGATCCCATTACACAATAATGTGATTGTTCAAAATGAGAATGAAGTGGAAGAAAGGGAATGTGAATCGCAGATCGGAAAAATTTTGATGAACAATATCAGAGCAGAAGTGGCGGCCTCAGAGAAATAAATATCAGACTTCAATTTTAATTGAATGATAAATTGGATTTTAATGAGCAAATGCTAGATAATGATGAATATATATTCGGGTCGGCATGGGGTACGGCGTTGTACGAGAGGAGAAAAATGGAAAAAAAAAAAGAAAGCCGGATCGTTGCAACCCAGCATGCCCTCACTCATTACAATAAAATGTTTGTTATTAAATATTTATTTAACTTATTTCATTTATAAAATTATTTTAAATTAAAAAGATGACACAAATTGCTTGTAGAAATACAACCCTACGTTGTTGTCTTTTCTTTCTTTATTTTTTCTATGCATTTTTTATAAAATTAAGAAAAGGCTAGTTTCTTAAATTACTTTTTTAGATAAATTAAATTTTAATATTCTTACAATCTTAATTAACATTAATTTAACTTTCTTTCAAATTTTAATTTTGTACAATATATTTTTAAATTTTTAAAAATTATGTTTATTTTTTTAATATTTAATATAAAAATATTTATTACTAATAATAAAAATATTCACCATTCTGTTGAATTCATTTTTTATTACAAATTTCATTAGAATTTACTGATATCCGTACAAGTCGCTGGTTGACAAAAATGAAAAAGAAAAAGAAATAGAACCCTAGAACTACACCACCAACTGCACCCGGTCTCTGTGTGTGTGTTACTGTTTTCGTTTTTTAAATATATATTTTTATTAGTTGCTTTTTTTATTACTTACTACGGATTCACTCATTCATTCATTTTCTCTCCATTTCTCCACCGCCGCTCCATCGTATCTCGAATAGCACCCACCATTCCACCGTAAGATTCATTTACGCCTCACTGCACAAGATTATTCCTCTTTTCTCTCTTTGATTCGATCTTTTTCTTCTCCCTCCCTCGCCATATTCCTTTTCATTTCGCAGTTTCTTGACTCCGTAGCGTCGGCGTTTGCGTCAGAAGAGAAAAAGAAAACCCTAATCGGAGATGGGTAGGAAGAAGCCCACGACGAGGGACGAAGAGAACGCGTCGCAGCAAGGCGGTGGGAAATCGAAGAAAAAGGCGCATGTAATAGACGACGATGAGTACTCCATCGGAACCGCAGTCTCCGACGAGCCGCAACCGGAAGAGAAACCTGCTGCAGCCGGTAAGAAGAAGGGTAAAAAAGGTAATGCCAAAGCTAAGAATGATGATGACGATGATGATTTCGTTGTTGATGACGATGATGTGTCAGAAGTTGGGAAGAAGAAGGGCAAAACGAAAAAGGGCGGTGGGAGCAGTGTGTTCAGTGCATCTAGTTTTGGTTTACTTGGTGATGAGGAAGATGGTGGTGATGATGACGATGAGAAATCTGGGTTAACCGGTGAACTGGATGGTGAGGATGAGGATGAGGATGAACCGGTGGTTAGTTTTACGGGTAAGAAGAAACCCTCCAAGGGTTCGAAGAAGGGTGGTGGTAGTTTGTTCACTGCATCGGCTCTTCATGCTATTGATGATGGTGATGATGATGATAAGGGTGGCGAGGAGGAGGATGATCCGGTGGTTAGTTTTTCTGGTAAGAAGAAGCCGTCAAAGGGTTCGAAGAAGGGCGGTGGGAGTTTGTTTTCTGCTGCGGCTTTTGATGCTATTGATGATGATGATGATGGGGATGGTGAGGTGGTGGTCGATGATGGCGGGGATGAGGATGATGATATTGATGAACCGGTTATTGCATTCACCGGGAAGAAGAAGTCTTCGAAAGGAGGCAAGAAGGGTGGTGCTTTGTCTTCGGCTGCTAGTTTTGGTGAGGTTGATGATGGAGAGGAGAATAAGGATGAGAAGGTAGATGGTGGTGATGATGAAGACATTGGACCAATCACGTTCTCTGGTAAGAAAAAGAAGTCGTCAAAGTCTTCGAAAAAGTCTGTTAATTCACTGAGTAAAGGTTTTCCTGATGAGGAAGATGTTTCTGTGCCTGAGTCTGGTAAAGGTGGTGAGGACAAGGATGAGGATGATGTTTCCTTAGTCGCGTTTACTGGTAAAAAGAAATCTTCTAAAAAGAAAAGCGGTAGCAGTGCTACTAAAGGGAGTGGTGAAATTGGGATTGGGAGTGAACATGTAGATGTTGTTGAGTCTGAGCAACCCAGTGTTGCAATCGGTAGTACTGGTACTGAAAATAACAATGTTAATAAGAGTGAAGAGGTCGCTGAAACTTCCAAAAATAAGAAAAAGAATAAGAAGAAGAGTGGAAGAACTGCTCAAGAGGAGGAAGATTTAGACAAGATTCTTGCAGAACTTGGTGAGGGCCCTCCTGCAGCGAAACCTGCAGCTCCTCCACCACAGGAAGATAAAGTTCAGCCCGCTCCTGAAGTAGGTTCTGCTGCTGATGCTTCTGGGGAAAAGGAGGGTGAAGAAGAGGCTGTAGAGTCAGCTGCTGCAAAGAAGAAGAAGAAGAAAAAGGAAAAGGAAAAGGAGAAGAAGGCAGCTGCGGCGGCAGCTGCAGCTGGAACTGAAACTGCCGAAGTTAAAGCTGAGACAATTGAACCAAAGAAGAATGAGTCAAAGACTAAAGCAGCTGACAAGAAAGTGCCAAAGCACGTTAGAGAGATGCAAGAGGCACTGGCTCGAAGAAAGGAGGCTGAAGAAAGGAAGAAAAGAGAAGAGGAGGAGAAGTTAAGGAAGGAAGAAGAGGAGCGACGTAGGCAAGAGGAGGTTGAGAGACAGGCAGAAGAGGCTAGACGTAGAAAGAAGGAAAGAGAAAAGGAGAAACTCCAGAAAAAGAAACAAGAAGGTAAACTATTAACTGGAAAGCAGAAGGAAGAAGCCCGCCGTCGGGAGGCAATGAGGAGGCAAATTCTCAATAACACCGGGGCTGTGACTCTCCCCTCTGGGGAATCTGGTGCTCCGGCCAAAAAACCCATTTATCAGACAAAGAAGTTAAAACCAAACCATCGAAATCAGAATGGTGCTGCTGCTGCTGCTCAGTTAGCTGAAAGTGTTGAAGTGAAGGAGACTACCCCTGATGTGGGTTCAGAGGAACCAGAAATGGTTGAAGTGGATTCGATGCAGGTGGAAGACAAAGTTGAACTTCCTGAAGCTGTTGAAGAGGATGTAGTGGAAGATGATATAGAGGATGAATGGGATGCAAAAAGCTGGGATGATGTTAATCTTAATGCAAAAGGCGCATTTGCGGATGAAGAGGCGGACTCAGAGCCTGAACCTATTGTCAGAAGGGAGACTAAAAATCCCATACCCTCAAATGCCGGTGAGATTTGCGTTTGATTATTTTTTAGCTTGTTACTGCCCCGCATGAAATCTCTCATATTATTGAAACTAACAATCTTGGCGCCACAGAATTCAGGTCCTTATTATGGTACCCTTCCAATAATGAGCATAAAAAAAAAATATCCTATGAATTTATTTTGGTTAATAGAAATAGAAACTAAAGGTACATTGAATTTTAGACCAAGACTTAGTTTTGAATTTTTTTTCTGCCAGAAAAGGGACCAAAATCTTCTTGGGGTATATTAGTAATGTCACATGCTGCCATAAAGTGGTAAATTGTTGAGAGATTCTGCTGATCACAAGAAATGGTGTCAAACCTAGCACTCTAGCAGTGTCATTCATTTTTTCTGGTCTAAATATGACAGTAGTGCACTTTTATTTCCACCTTTGCTTTAGATTTGAAAAAAAAATGCTTTTGTTCTTGGAGATATGGACCCGGTGGGCATGCATGTGACCAAACTAATTCTCTGTCCTTTTATGTGCATGTTCAAGGCCCAATGGTGTTTGATTGACCCAAGTAGGTTCCCTGTAGCATCTGTTTGGCTGTTACTTGTTGTGCATGTATAAGTGCCTGAGGGTTTCAATGGAAGGATTTTGTTATATTTTTTCACCTAATCCCTATTAAATGTTAATCTTTTTTTACCTCCTATGCAACAGGTGCTACTAATAAAACTGTTTCTAAGCCTGTGGCTGAAGAAATTGAAGATAGAAAGCAGGCTAACATTGTGGTTGTGGACTTGAAAAGGGAACAACAGAAGTCTGCTTTGCCAAAGGAACAACCAAAGTCTGTCTTGCCTCCAAAGCCCAATGATGAGAACCTCCGTTCCCCAATTTGCTGTATCATGGGGCATGTAGATACTGGCAAAACCAAGCTTCTGGATTGTATTCGAGGTACAAATGTTCAGGAGGGTGAAGCAGGTGGTATCACACAACAGATTGGTGCAACATACTTTCCTGCTGAGAACATACGTGAAAGAACGAAGGAACTGAAAGCTGATGCGAAGCTGAAAGTTCCTGGTCTACTGGTTATTGATACCCCAGGGCACGAATCATTTACTAACTTGAGGTCTCGTGGTTCAGGTCTATGTGATATTGCAATTTTGGTTGTTGACATTATGCATGGATTAGAGCAACAAACAATAGAATCACTAAATCTATTAAAAATGAGGAATACAGAATTCATTGTTGCCTTGAATAAGGTGAGTATTTATTCCTTGTACTTTATGATTCCTTTTAATAGGTGACACATGTGGCTGTCACAGGGTTCTTGAAACATTGCAGGTTGACAGGCTTTATGGGTGGAAAACTAGTCGCAATTCTCCAATTGTTAAAGCAATGAAGCAGCAGTCTAAGGATGTTCAAAATGAGTTCAATATGAGGCTTACTCAGGTAGCAAAAGATTTTTCTTTTTGTCAGTTTTACTGAATCATTTTTGTTACTGTTTACTGCCCTAATTTTCTTCTGTTTCGTTGCTAGATTATTACTCAATTCAAGGAACAGGGGCTAAATACTGAGTTGTATTATAAAAACAAAGAAATGGGAGAAACTTTCAGCATTGTGCCTACAAGTGCAATAAGGTAATTGTGGTAGCCTTTTAGCTGGAATACTTTGCCATCTCACTCCTGTTTGAAACAAAATAATTTTTTTATTGATAATAGACACAGTGGCTGGTTTTGGAGACCATTAGTTGAGCCTTCACCATTTCTTTTATATGGTGAAAGCTGCCACTGTATCAATCTCTGGTCTGATGAATGACAATGTCTTCTTTTTCTGGCAAAAGTTTAGTGTATGCTGTACAGGATTATGTGTATGAGAATGTGTATCTGATAAAATATTGAATTGTATCTTTTACTAATGCAGCTGGTAATATAAACAATATTACACGTTTTTATTTTATAAGAGCTGAAATTCCAAATAAAGTATTTCGGTAGTTTTAAAGAAGGTTCTTCGAATTTATTTTAGTAGTTTCTTCACTATTAAGAAACATCTTTTATTGTTTCAAACATTTCAGTATATTCCAGAACATTTCAATTTTGGGATGTTTATAAATTGTTAACCTGTCCAAGCAATACTTGAAATTATTCAAAATTTGGTGATTTAGTGGGAGCAGTGGGAGAAGACAGGGTGCGTAATGAAAAGTTGGGGGGACATTTCCATTTATCTTGGATGTCAGCATCGCTAGAAAATTGCCCAAAATTTATTTTAGGGCAGAAACTATCTTTTTCATTGTTGCCTAGAACTGTTGCATAATCTTCATAGTGCTTTTCATGTTGCTGTTGTTGTATTGACTTTTTTAGTATTTGCTATTTCAGTGGCGAAGGAATCCCTGATCTGTTATTGCTATTGGTTCAATGGACCCAAAAAACAATGGCTGAGAAACTTACATACAGTGAAGAAGTCCAGGTTAGGTTTATTTTCACATAATCTAAAAGCTGGTTGAATGCTTTATGATTGTTTAACTGTAGACCTTATTGTTGTTTAATTGTGGCCACCAGTGTACTGTTTTGGAAGTCAAGGTAGTTGAAGGCCATGGAACTACTATTGATGTTGTTTTAGTTAATGGTGTTCTTCATGAAGGAGATCAGATAGTTGTCTGTGGAATGCAGGCAAGCATCTTAAAGTCTCACTGCATCATCTATTAGTATCTGCCCTCCATTCAGACTAATGAAAATTTTATTACAGGGGCCAATTGTTACTTCAATTCGAGCTTTATTGACACCTCATCCAATGAAGGAACTCCGTGTCAAGGTACAGCTATCTCGTTTGCAATTTATTTGTTTATGCTGTTATCGCTTTTGTTACTTGGTAGGAAAATTAGAACCTTGCTACATTACTTTCTAGTATGAATGTAAACAATGGATTGCTTGGTTGGAATTTAATGATTCCATGCTTGAAAGTTTGGTTTTGGAAGGGAAAAAAAATGTTAAGATTTTAATCAGTTCCAGTGATTTTAATGTATTGGATGCTAAACAAAGGATTATGAGATTTTGGCAATATGCTTAATATGGAGGAGATGAGCTAAAAAGCAGAGGGTTGGATTTTTTTTTCCTCATCCATAGGCCAAAAATGGAGTTTTATTGGATTCATAATAATTTATTACTGGTTCAAAACAAAACCGTTGTAAGATATGCATTCCCTTTTAAGGGGCTCTAGTGCTGGAACTTAGCTGACACCCACCCACTCTTGTTGCGGAGTTTGTGGCCAAGGTTGTCAACCTGTTAGGCATACTGAACTAGTAAGCTTGACTCAATAAACTTGTGAGTCAGTGACATTCTTCCAAAGTAATAATATTTAAAACAAGTATCCTACTATCCTAGTACATCAAACATAATTTTATAAAATATCCATAATTATTAATTAACTGAAATGCATCACAAAGCAAACAAAAGTAATAAAGTAAAAAAAATTAGCCTTAAATATCTTCAATCCCAATAAATATGTTCAAATTTAATTTTAGTCCTACAGAGTTTTTGTTGCTTTTGGTCCATAAAAATCTTAAAATATTTTAAGATAGTTCTCGTCATTACTTAGTAGTGATTCGATCTCGTCATTACTTAGTAGTGATGCGATGTGCATCTAATTATGTGATGTTAAAGACCATGTTGAGGTGGCTTTTGTTTACTCTTGTAGTACAATCTTGATTGATAAATTCCATCCAGGCAGAGGGAGTTATACTATATAGTATGTCTTACAAGTCACAACTAAGTAATAATGGTCTAATTTCAGGGAACATATCTTCATCACAAAGAAATCAAAGCTGCAATGGGTATAAAGATCACTGCCCAGGTACTTGGTGATAGTGATCTGACTTCTTTTTATGCCGTTTGTATCCAATATTGTCTTCCTTATGCTTGTGAATTTGTAAAGCTTTGGTTTTATTTTATGCTTTCTTTCAGGGCCTTGAACATGCCATTGCTGGCACTGGTTTATATGTGGTGAAGGCCGAGGATGATTTGGAAGATGTGAAAGAAGCAGCTATGGAAGATATGCGGTCAGTCATGAGCAGGATTGACAGGACTGGTGAGGGGGTTTGCGTACAGGCATCTACCCTTGGCTCCTTGGAAGCATTACTGGAGTTTTTGAAAACTCCTGAAGTGAGTATTCCTGTGAGTGGTATAAGCATAGGCCCTGTACATAAAAAGGATGTAATGAAGGCCAGTGTGATGCTTGAAAAGAAGCGAGAGTATGCTGCTATATTGGCATTTGATGTCAAAGTCACTCAAGAGGCTAGGGAGCTTGCAGATGAATTGGGCGTGAAAATTTTTATTGCTGATATTATTTATCACCTGTTTGATCAATTTAAGGCTTATATTGACAACATTAAAGAGGAGAAAAAGCGAGAAGCTGCTGATGAGGCAGTCTTCCCATGTGTTCTGAAAATTTTACCAAACTGCATTTTCAACAAGAAGGATCCAATTGTTTTGGGAGTTGATATTCTTGAAGGCACTTTGAAGGTATTTTTTTGTTCAGGCATTTGTTTTTTTAATATATCTGCAATGTCATCTGTGAATAACAGTTTTCTCAACATAGGGTGCTTTTTTGCTGGACTAAATCCATTATCCTTCGGTTGAATTTTCATTTTAGGCCTATATTTTACAAAGGAATTAGCAATTATATTTCTTCATCTCTTGGATAAATATAGGCATATTAGGCTGTGGTTGTTTAACTGGTTGGAAAATGGGGAGATGGAAATTTTGGAATGAAAATTACTTCACACTTTTACGATACCAACCAACTGGTGGTGTAATTGAAACTTCTGTATCTTCTCGTTTGTCATTTTCCACCTACTCAAAGAATGATAGCCTTAGTCTGTTGATTGCACTTGGAGGACTTTAAACACTTGTGAAACTTTAGCTTAATTTTGTTTACATATTAAGCAATTGATTTCAATATGGAGTCTATTCTCCACTATTATAATTGTCTATCTTTAGTATGGCACTTTAAACTGGTGGTGTTTTCATACAGACTATTATAAAATTGAATGTAAAACTAGAATATTGTGCCTGACCACCATCTTTAAGCTATTTCATTTATCAGCTGATTCTCTTATATCCATCCTGTATCAAAATATAGTGGAAAGCTAGAATATTTTGCCAGTATTTGTCCCCTTGAATTATGTAAATTCAGTTTTTCTTTTCTGACTCTCCAACATTGCTTCCTTGTTTGGTTTTCATGCCCATGTTTCATCTTCATTGTTATTGTTTGTTCACTTTATATATGTTTGCCCCCTTCACATTATTATTTTTCAGATTGGTCTTGCTGAATCTCATTTCCTGAGCATTTAAGGTTCACCGTGTTTTTTTGGGTTTATGACATAAATTATGGTCTTGTTATCTTGGGAAGTCTATTGTGTGCAGTGCTGAAAAGATAATTGTTTTTATTTCTTTAAATTTGCATCTAATATTATCTACTTGACAGATTGGGACTCCAATTTGTATTCCTTCAAGAGAGTTCATTGATATTGGTCGCATTGCCTCCATTGAGAATAACCATAAACCTGTTGATTATGCAAAGAAGGGGCAGAAAGTAGCCATTAAGGTATGTTCTTTGACTGAAATTAAATCCTTTATAGTGAACATCTCTGAACTCTTAAGATGTCCTCAACGAAATGGAATTTGAAATATGGATTAAAAACCTTCGTGTATTTAACAAGGAAAAAGTTTATACCCTTAGAGGGGGTGTTTGATCAGGGTTTTTGTTTATGTTTTCCAAAATTATTAAGTTGAGAATCTTAGATTCCCAATGTTTGGTATGAATATTTTTTAAAACATACTTAAGAAACTAATGACTTGTTTGTTTCTGTTTTGGTTTTTACTTTTTAAAATTATATTTTAAAACAATTTTAAGAAAATGTTTTTAAGAAGAAAATGAAAATAAAACTTGTTTGTTAGTTAAGTTTAGGGTTGGGTGTTTGATCAGGGTTTTTGTTTATGTTTTCCAAAATTATTAAGTTGAGAATCTTAGATTCCCAATGTTCGGTATGAATATTTTTTAAAACATTCTTAAGAAACTAGTGGCTTTTTTTTTCTGTTTTTGTTTTTACTTTTTAAAATTATATTTTAAATCAATTTTAAGAAAATGTTTTTAAGAAGAAAATGAAAATAAAACTTGTTTGTTAAGTTTAGGGTTGGGTGTTTGATCAGGGTTTTTGTTTTTGTTTTCCAAAATTATTAAGTTGAGAATCTTAGATTCCCAATGTTTGGTATGAATATTTTTTAAAACATTCTTAAGAAACTAGTGGCTTGTTTTTTTCTGTTTTGGTTTTTACTTTTTAAAATTATATTTTAAAACAATTTTAAGAAAATGTTTTTAAGAAGAAAATGAAAATAAAACTTGTTTGTTAGTTAAGTTTTCAAAACTGTTTTTAAGATGAGAAAATAAAAAAACTTAAACCAAAACACCTTAGAGGCTATTTTTGTTTTTTAATTTCAAAAACTGAAAATGAAAAATTATTTTTAAAATAGTTTTGAAAAACTTAGGTTGGCAAACAAGTTTTTATTATTTCTTAGGAATGACTTTTTTAACGATGTTAACAAAATATTTCCAGGGAAGGGGTGGTAATTTAAAATTCTTATTAAAGTAAGAAAGTTTTTGTCATACTTAAGAAACACAATTCCCAGGAATGAAAAGCAATGTTCCTTTAAGTGGCACGATGTTGAAAAGGAAAAAAGATCCTTAATGCATGTTTTAAATTACCTAGTAAACAAAATGTCATGATTTATTTACATGATGATTTACACGTGATCAATAACTAGACATGGCTATTGAGAAAATGGAGAAAGAAAAGTAAAGAGGCAGAAATTGAATGATTTTCTTGTTGCTTTGTGTATTCTTGGTGTCAATCTCACTATGCTTGGATTGGGTTTACAGATTGTTGGCAGCAACCCTGAGGAGCAACAGAAAATGTATGGGAGGCATTTTGAGATTGATGATGAACTTGTAAGCCATATTTCGCGGAGATCTATTGATATACTCAAAACTAATTATCGGGTAAGTTTATAACAATATGCATTATGAGCAACATGTATCTAGTGCTCTGGATATGGTTGAAAATGTTTCTAAGTTACACTATTAATTGATATAGGATGATCTGACTATGGATGAATGGAGGCTTGTTGTGAAATTGAAGAATCTTTTCAAGATACAATGAGGAGAGTTGATGTGGGGCGCTCGAGTATCATTTCAATAAAAACAAGGTTTCAGTGAGGTGTTTGGTTTTATACAAAACTTTGAAGAAATTGTGTGAGGATGCCATTCGATCCACCATGTAGAGCAATCAAAATGATGCAATGATTCAGATAGATGGTGCTGTATGTCATCGAGAGGCAAGGTAACTCCAATGCTCTGTCAGCTGGGAAGCTCAGGACTCTATAAAGGGTGCGAACAGGGAAACTGACAAGGTCCAAATTTTGTGAATTACTACCATATTAGATATACACGTGTGGTATACATGGAAGCAAATAAGAGTTCGAATTTGCATTTCAGTGAGGAAAAGCAAATTTTTACGGGAGAATCTATTGTTTTGACGAAAAAAATTGTTCACTTTTGGTTTGGGGGTACCCATTTTGTACAAGTTTTTTCCATTTTTAGCTGAGGCACTTTAATTTTCGCGAGTTATGTATCCTTTTGTTGTTTTCTACCAGGCAGTAGGTTACGGAAACCGGCAAGTACTGGCAAGGGTTCATCTGAGCCACATGGAGCCTGAAATCTATGAATTGAATATTTTAGCATATGCAGCTCCTTATCCATAACTCCACTCTATCATCTGCCTATTTATGTCTATTGAAGTTGCCTAATTCCCATGGCTTTAATCAGATAAATTATAGATGAATGTTAACATCTCTAAAATATTAATCAAAACATTAAAAATAATTTTTTTAAATTTACTAATTAAATTTTACCTTAATTTTTAAAACAGTCACAATAACATTCATTATTTACCTTTAAAAATGCAATGTTGGTTGATCAAATAATTCATTTCATACTAAGAGAGATTTTATTAGAAGAGATAAAATTGATTGTAGTATTATTATATGGGTGTTAGGTGTTACTACTATATTGTTTTGCCTTTCAAAGTTATTACATTTTTCAATTTTATTGTCATGTCCATCTATATTTATCTGGTCAAAGATGAACATACACACACATTAACTATATTTAGATATAGTTTCACTAGATTAATAAAGACTCCACTCCATTTGTGATTATTTAATGAAAGATGGTCAAATCAATTTCAAATTGAAGTAAAAATGCATTATTTATTGATTAAATAATTCATTTCAAACTAAATTGTTAAATGAATGTTTCAAAAAGGATTTTATATTAGATGAGGTAAAATTCATATCGGTAATATTTATATTTTTAAAGAATTAGTCTTTAGCTGTCCATTAAAAAATAATGTTTATTGTTAGAAAGACAAAAAAAAATAAATATTTTATAAAATATAAAATTTATAAGTATTTTATTGTATTATTTTATTTTTGTTATATATTTTTAAAATATTAATAAATATTAAAATTTGGATAACATGTATAAAAATGTTTAAATTATGTAAAATTTAATATACATAATACTAAAAAATATGAGATGATTTAATAGTTAAATTAGTTAATTTTATATTATATAATAAATTATTAAGTAATATAAATGTTATATCAACTGATTATTTTCAATATTTCTCTTTAATGCATATATGTACATACACACACATATATATATATATATATATATATATATATATATATATATTCTTTTTATATATCAATATTGAATTTATGCTGAGAAAAAAAAAGGTACCTCCGCTCTTACATGCTCTTACAAATGAAGTTTTTGTTTAAATACTTGAGGGCATAGTTACATTGTTGTCCATGCTCAAATCTAATACAATGATCATTCTTTGGGAAGGGGTTGATTCCTGCTCTATACATTCACTTTCCATAAGATGTTAATCTCATTTGAGATCATTCAAAGATGGGGGAATTGGATCATAATAACTGGAAAGTTTTCTAAACAGGCCTCCAAGAGTCCCCATACTTGGAAATTTCAAAATTCTTAAATTAGAATTATCATAATAATAATTATTAATTATTTTTAGAATAATATTTTAATTTATTTCAACGGAGGATCCACGTGATGAAAGCTCACACAAAGCTGATTTAGAAGATAAGTAGAAAATGAAATGAAAGAGACAAATTTTAATGACTGCCTGAGGAAAATTAGTTAAAAATTAAAATAAAGAATCATTTAATGTAAATTAAATATTTAAGAACCCGAGTATCTTTAAAATGATTAAAATGTATTTAATCTATCATATTAAATATGTTTTATTTCACTAACAATTGTTTTTAAAACCATTAATTAACATTTATATAAGAATTATTACGTATTTTTAACAAAATTAAATTTAAATAGACAGATAAAAAAATATATATTAAACTGAATTATAATTTACTATATTAACAAAATTGTTTAATTTCTATAATAATAATTATAAAAATTATAATTAGTTTACAATATAAAAAAATTTATTACGGACGATGTATCAAAATTAAATTCATACTTAATAATGAATTAATAGTTGAAAAATTAAAAAATATAAATAAACAAACATATTAATTCATAACATCTCTTTATCTATTTACTTTGTACATGATACACTCAGCAAAAATATATATTCCACTCGCCAAAAAAAAAATACATGATACAATCTAAATTTTTACAAAGAACGAATCAAACCATTTATATTAGACTAAAAGTTAAGAAAATACAAGTATTAAGTGAATTTATGTCACAATTTTGGAAAGGTCTAACGACCAAGAGAATAATAATTATCTAAGAGAGGAAAAATTTATAGCAGATAATAATTTTTTTGATTCTGATAGGTTTATATATATAAGAACTGGAAAAACTAATAAATAAGATTAAAGATGTCAATGCAATTCAAAAGCAACAGAAATTTGATCATACAAATCAACACATATATAAAAATTGTGAAAACAAAGAACACGAAAACAATGAAGCAGAAAAAAAAAATACAAGAATGGGGAAAACAAAGAACTAACATATAAGTAAAATCGCGAAAGAAAAAACACACACACAAAAGGATATAACATAAAGATTAAAGATATATTAGAAATCTGACTAAAATATTTTTCTCGATGACAAGTGATATAAACCCATAAGATATTTAACTTTTAAATCTTTTTATAAATTCAATATACTTGCATAAAGAACTTCTAAAATAGATTTAAAAATAAAAATCATGACCAGTACGATACTTAAGAAAAACAAGAACCTTGGTAGAAAGAATGGATGATGTATCAATTATAAACAATAAAAAACTCAAGTACAAGTTGAACCTCGCAAAAATGTAGCTTTTTTTTTTTTTTTTAAATGTTATTCCTATAATTGATAGTTGCATTTGGTTAAGCAAAACATTCATATGTTGGTTTGAGTGTAAATCATTAAATTACAGTTTTTAATCTTAAAATTTATACAGATGATATAATGTTTCGAAGGATTTTTATTTTAATATTTTATCGTATCTTAAAAAATTAATCTCTTAAAAATAATGAAATGAGTTTGACACCTCGACCAGCTTATTTAACCCACCTTATAGGTGGATTGAGTTAGGTGACACAAAATCGTCAATATACTTAATACCTTAACCTATATTGTTTAGTGCACAAAAGTGCAAGCAAAAAATAAATTCAATGTAAGTTTCTTTGATGGACTTAAAAAAATAATTTAAATATTCTTATATAAGTTTATCTTTATCCTAACTCATTTTCTATGGGCTAATAGTGGGGTAGGGTAAACTGATTGCATTTTACCACCCTATTCTCATATATTAATCAAGAGGATACTTTAAAAATCCAATAAGAAATATGATTTTTTTTTTATTTAAAAAGATTCAAATAACAAGCAATCTCTAATCTCATGTTTTATTTTTCCTTATTAAGCAATTGATACAAATGATTTTTATCCTCTTTTCTGTAGTGTAGTGTTCTCAATTCATATCTTTATATAGTTCATGTGTTCAGAAATAACATGTTTTCCGCTGAAGGGGAGCTCTTACAAAGTTCTGATCATTGTATTGTATCTCTCCACTCACTTCATCAGCGAAAAACTCCTAGGTTTTTTCATAAATAAAATTACATCACACGTATAAAAAGGCTCTGATAGACCTTACTTCTTTTAATGCTTTTTACCAATCCAACTTTGTTCTATATTCACGTCTCACCTCATCATTTCTTGTGAAAAGCAAAAGTGAGGGGACTCTGAAGGAGAGGTAACAAAAGCACTTAAATAGAGTTTACTTAATTAACATAATATCCTGTTAGCAAAACGATCACGTAGCTAAAGAGCACTTGACCCAATCAACTTGGTTAGCCCAAAAGTTATAGCCATGGCTAGCCAACCCCCAACCAAGACCCTCACACAAGACCTCAATGCTGGAGCCTTACCCAAAACTGCTCCTAACCAACCAAAGACCAGAAGAGCAAAACTCACTGCTCCCAAAACCACTCCTAATCTCACCTTATAATCCCTTATAAAAGAGGCTGCAAGTAAGGGAACCATTGCACCAACTGAAAATGCTAAAGCTGATGCTGCTGCTGCTTGCAAAGGGTTTGGCAAACTCTCTTTCTCTTTGTTATCGTCCTCTTCTCTATGTCTCTCATTGCCCCTTTCTTTGTCTCTTTTCAGTTGAGCAACTTCTATGTCTAACTGTGAGTACACAGACACAAATTCTCCTATGGCCATGCTACAAGCACCTGCCACTAGCCCTGCAAACCCTGTTAGGATCATGACTTTAATGTCTTGCTTCACTGCTCCCACACCCATCATTAGAGATGCTGTGGAGACTAACCCATCGTTGGCTCCTAAAACAGCAGCACGTAGCCATTGAGATCTTTTTGAGTAATCGAAGTCCTTGGTTTCAACCTCTAGTGTTGCTTGTTGCTCAAGGTCACTGTTTTGATGGAGAAATTTGGTTTGGCTGTTGAGGGATGAATGATCAGATGCCATGAAAAAAAGGTGTACACTTGAGGAGGAGCTACGTAATGAAGAATGGTGAATCAAAGGTATGGAGAAAAGTGTGGAGGACACACTCTAACAAAGATGGGTATTTATGGATGAAAATTGCCTATACTGGAGGCAAAGGTGGGACAAGCCCACTAATTAAAAGACAAATTTTATATTCACCAAATGCATACGGAAATATATGTATAGGATGTTCAACAAATTAATTTTACACTATTTATTAAAGAGTGTATGAAAAAGAGGGGAATAATTGAGGGATGAACTCCAATGGTGACATAGGGAAAATGATGTTATGGGTCAAACAATATAACTTTTTCTTTTGGGTCAAATATAAAATGTACTTTTGAATGTGTAATCTAGCTGTGTGTGTTTTTGCAAATTATTGAGACTTTGGCCTTTTAAATAATTTCATAAGACTTAATCAGTGGACATGATAAAATTACGTGCAAGAGAAGTTGTTGGTTAGTTGGTTGGTTTATACTTAATTTGTGTACAATCTACACTAATCCCACCATAATTTATGTTGTTGTAACTTGGGGTTGTGAAATTTGTTAGAGGAAAAAACTGATAAACAAAACATTAAAGTAGTGAAATGCTTTTGGTGTCTCACATGCCGTGATGACTTAAGTGACTTAAGTGACACCCACAGTATACTCAGCAAACAATACTAATCGAGTTGAAGAAAAATATTCATGAAAATGTAATATCACTTTTTTTTGTTACCAAAAGGAAGAGAACCCCTTTCACAGAGTTTCCAAAATCATACCTGTTGATCAGATAAAATGCTTCTCCAACAAATATAGTATTTTAGAATTTAGTTTAGATAATTGAAACATAGAAACAATAGAATTTATGATAAGGAGAGCGACCCCGAAACAAAGTAAATTATAGTAGTTTGTCACGATGTACATAGAGACCATCATATATAGAATTATAGATAATCTATTCATAAAATTAAAGCAATCAAAATGGGATGTACACTCTGTAAGAAAGTTATACCTGACCAGAAGTTCATGTTTATGACATGACTCAGACAAAGGACAAAACGTAAAGATAACCAAATGAAATTGCTTTTTTCTTACACGGGAAAAGAAAAGGGAAAAAGCATATCATTGAGGCATCTTTTTCCCCAAGTTATAATACTGGGTCTAGTATCACAAGCGTTTCGTACTACATTGGGAAACTGATGAAAGTTATATATTATATATGTGCATCAAAGTTATATCAATTCTTGCTTCAAGTAGTTTCTATGTAGTTAGTATCAAAAAGCAACGGTCATTTTCTTCGTTTTAGTCGTAAGGATCGGTGAGAGATGTGAGTCGCTGGCAACTCTAATCACCAGAATTTGTAAGCTAACATGATAGAGGAAATATTATACTTTAAATATGGTGTATTATTTTATATATACATCAGACATATATAATAAGAATAGTTTTTAATTTAAGAATGTAAGAATTATACATATGAATTATATAATTATATACAGATTATTAAAGTTTAAAAATATATAATTTGTTTTTACATGATTACTTAAATTTTATGTGTATTTACCTTTTAATCTTGTTATTTGTATGAATTATATAATTATATACAGATTATTAAAATTTAAAAATATATAATTTGTTTTTACATGATTACTTAAATTTTATGTGTATTTACCTTTTAATCTTGTTAATATTCAAATAAATTTAATAATTGATATTTATTATCTTTTGACTCTCAAAAATAAAGTGTTTTCACTTTAATTCTCTCTCCATACATAGAGAATTGATTCAATTCTGCAGAGATAAAGTATCACGTACGTTGAAACTACGCTCGGACCAATCATCCCTATGCAAAAGTATGGTGTTAAAAGCTGGTGAAAAATAAGTAAGAACATCGATGTGGGCAAAGTAATCCATGTTTGAGCAGAGCAGGCGAATTTTCCAATTAAAATCATACTAAAACGTCAAATATGAAAGTGGGGAAAATCTGAATGCTGATGTTATTGTAGCTTAGGTTATAAGGGAATGTGAGACATGTTAATCAGATAAATTTATCATCGATGACATTTCATTTGTTAGACTGGCAACAAGTTAAAAATGAAGCTCAAACCATGCACGCATATAATATCTGAAATTCACCTAAAAAAATCTGAAATTTACGAATATAGTAGGTCAGAAAATTACAGTTAACACTATTGGTCCTAGCTTAAGAAAATATCTGCAGTCCATGGAATGAAAGAATTCCAACGAAAACTATAAATTGAAAACAAAACACAGTTAAAAGATAAGATATATTCTCCTCCAATTCGGGCAATGATAACATATAATAGTGCATTTATAATATATTTAAAAAAAATATTAGCAACATATTTTTTTAACACATTCTTAATCATTGATTAAAATTTATTAAAAATTAAAAAAATCATATAAGACTAACTGTTTTATATTAAATAATGTTTTACTAATATTCTTGTGACAACTATAACTGTACAAAAAGATTTAGTCTTTTCTGAAGTTATCAACGATAAATTGAGGACCCAAAATTTTTACATCATACTAGTAAAATATATAGTTTTCGAAAAGGGTTTAATTAAATTTCGAATTGCTAAAGCAATTGCAATTGTTATACTGGGAATATGGGGTTACTTACTCCATTTCATTCTTGTTTTGATCTAAAATAATAGCATTGGATCACGTTTGTCTGCAATCTCAGCAATCGCAACCAAATATTTACCATATTGAAATTGATGGGAAATTGAAACCCATTGCAGATCTTGTAATCAAATCTAGTCAAACTGATGTGTCGCATAATGAAACCAAGTATTGGGTTTTATCAGCGTAACATTATGCTTATTGTTCACAAAGCACTTGAACAAGTGGCAGCCAACTTCATTTACAAGAAATGAGTTCTTAGTATAAAACATATTTTCATGAGCTTAATTATATAGCAATAATTCCCTATGTTGCTTAGCAATATTTCGAAAGTGATCAATGAGTACCCATATATTTACTTTAATGTGTTTATCAAATATTTATTCTTTTAAAAATAATTCTCAAGAAATATTTTAACATTATGAAAAGTGAGGAAGAGAAATTATTGATGTAGCATATTATTGAGACACACACTCAAAGAAATCTTGCTAGGTAAGTACACAAGTGAATTTTCTACCCAATACTCATACATTGAGAACTTGATTAATCACCAGGTTTAATTATTATCATTACTCATCATAATCTAACTTGAGAAGCATAGGTAAATGTAGAATGAAAAGGCTCAGGAGCAAAGGAAGAATGGATTGCTGAAGAGGAAAGCACTAAGTGCTGTGATAAAAAGGAAGTGTAGTGAATTGGATAATTTATATAATGGAACAGAGTGTACATCCTACTCGAAGACCACCATTTTGAATTATTTCGTCCAATAGAGACAGAAACCAGAGTCTACATTGTTTTGCACTCCAACAACGTACTTGCATTATCTGGGTCACCAACTTGGTTCATGGATGAGGGGGAAAAATCAACAAGGTCCACAACCCTTTGTCTCATTAAAGCCCAATACACTAAAGTGAGTCCTAGAAATAAAGGTGGGTTGTACTTAAATAGTGACATCCATTAACAAATGGCGTGGTTGAGTTGATTTCCTGTCAAAGATCATAGAGGGAAGAAATTTGGTTGATTATCATGATTTGTTGTTTTCCTATTCTCTATAGCTTTATTTGTGTATTTCATTGCTGTAGTTTGGAGTATATCAGTATTAACAAACAGTTCTTCAAAATATTCTTGGTTTTGTTTTGCATGCAGAACGATTTCTATTAAATCAAGCAATTAAGATATTAAAGAAGATCAGAAGCTAGTGAAAATTCTCCAATATGTTGGCCATTGTGATTTTCTTCTTTCGAGCCATTTTACATTATGCTTATTTTCTTTCGCGGAAAAAACACAACTAGTATAATTTTCATCATGATTTTGTTTTCAAGTATACGAAGCTACAACGTAAAGACCCCATCAAAATCCATGTTAACTTTAATAAAGCCTAAAGCTTTATCAAAAGAAGTATATCAATATAATCCTATATCTTATTAGCTGTAATGTTTAATTTATGAATAGAGTTTAATTTATTTTGCTATGTAATGTTTAACTCTTACAGGTATTTATTGAAAAATTTATTCAAATTAACCTATATCTTATTAGCTGAAAGAAACTATCCGAAAATATTTAATAATCCTATCGTGTTCCAACTATTTTTAAAGGTGGATAAAACTAAAGGAGTAAAGGTAAATTAATTAAAGACAATGTGCATGTGGGTCAAGCTCAAATGAAGAGAACGTGATGGCAAAAGATGGTAGTTATGTAAATTTCAAAATGCTATAATTTGTAAATGCTAATCGGATCTCTCTTTCGACATTTGTTTCACTAAATTATCATTCATCTAAAGTTTGAGATTCCTTTTCCTTTCTTAGTAGTAGCCGAAAAAAAATAATTAGATGCAGACGTGCATGAAACACTACGTAACATTTTTGAATCAGAAAGAAAAGTTATTGAATTTTCAAGATCGTTGCCCTAAGGACAACATCGATGCCTTTAAATAGCCCATACCACATCTTCTATTTTTGAGTGTTCAAAGGAATTCATCAACATCTTCAAGAATGGAGCTGTAATTGTCAAACTCTTTTAAAAGAATCAAAAGTTAGATAAGAAAAGCTCACAACGAAAAAAGTTAAAGAGGATATGATAGTGAGAGATGAAACTTCCCTAGATCTATTTAAAAAAGAAAACAAAAACATTTGTTTTATAAACTTGCACCACTTATTGGTATGAAAAAAGTATTTTCATGATCAAATTACAAAAGAAATGGAAATTAAATAACTAAGCATTTTTTTAAGATATACTAAAACTGTCTCCGACAGTCGAAGCAGGTTAATTGAATTATTCAAATGAGTTTTGTTTTTCTTAACAAAATATTTAATATATACATTATTATAAATCAAATTTCTGTTAACATAC